ACAAACAGCAGTGAATATACAATGCATAATAACAGGCACCAGTGTCCAGGCGTATAGTCCGCAGAAGCCAATTTGAGCCTAAAATGTTTTTGTTTAGATAGGTTGCATTTGGTGTATAATCCGCAGGGCCTGATTTCCGCGCCCAGTGCAAAGTCCGCCAAGCTGGTGCGTTGTGTCTTCGTGCTTTTTTTTCCCTGGGTGGCATTTTCTTCAAAAGTTCTTCGGCAAATGCTATTGAACCTGAAGAACTGCTCTCGAGGCCGACATCCAGCCACTGAGCACAAACACGGGCACAGAAAATAACACTCGGTGCCAAGTACACACGAAGCACCTGGGCGGAAAGCTGTGAATGCCAAACGAGCAGCGTCGGGTGACGGCGACTGACTGCGTTGCGCCCCTTCGACGCCTGCGTCGCTGCAGTGGGTGGTCGTAGCCAGTCGTAGCGAGATGATCGTCACTTCAAGCAAGAAATCTTGCCATATCATACTCAAGATATGTGTGCAAGTGCTCGACGACGTGGGCAGTTGTCATCAAGAAAGGTACATATCAACAATGTTTGCGCATTTGAGGCTGAAACTATGACACATACTTTATCTAAACCTACATTTATCGGTCTGCGGCTACAAACATCTCCGTTGACGTTGCTTAGATGATGTAACCATTCATGCCTCGCATTAAATGGTGTTGCGAACTCTTCGGTTGCGTATGAAAACTTATTTTTGCCATAATAAAAGACATTTTCAAAAGGGCACATGTCTGGTGCTGATACATATCTTCCAATTTACAATGCAGAGGCAAAAAGAAAATCAACTGTGTACATCTATCACCTAGCATAAGCACCTTTTTCCATTCATTCTTGAGCACTCTCAAATATCAGCTTAGGTTGCTCTTGTTCTAAAAGCTTTGCCTTGTTTTGTAAAAAAAAAAAAAAGATTCCCGACGCATATCGTGAGTAAAAAAGTGAAAGCCGTTTACAACTCCATGTAACGCCGAATTGGACCGCAGCTCTTGAGGAGGAGGAGGGAAGGGTACTGAGGGGAGGGTAGACCCTCCTCCTTCTCTTCCCCTCATTCTTTAATATGCTCCGGGGGGTCACGTGACCTCGGGGGGGGGGGGGGTGTCATGTGACTCCGGGGGGAGGGGGGGTCACGTGACCTCGGGGTTACCTTGGGAGGAGTCACGTGACCTTGGGAGGGGGCCACGTGACCTTGGTTGCGCCAACGGCGATGCCGCTCAAGCCGGAAACGGACGCCTAAGAGCTGCGCTCTAAAAAAAAGTTAAAAAAGCTTTACCTTTGTTCTCCTGGCATTTAATACAGACTTGTTTGTCAGCAGAACACATACAGCAGATATCAACGGGGCACATACAACTCGAACGACCGATGAGACTTGCTATTAGAATAAAGCTTTCCACAAGAGCCAAAAGGGGGCTTGTAGGGGTGCACAAGCACATCGAAATGAGATTGGCGCTTCTGGGGCTTGTTTACATTATGCGTAAAAACGGGACGATCGGCGACCAGCTGATCGCAATATAACACCAAGGATACCGATGTTTCGATACATAGAACGCAGGATAAACACTTCAATCGTCCCTTGTATGCTGTAGCTGTCATACTTTCCATCCAACCGCTTTTTAGCACAATTAACTAGAACAACCGAAGAGTTCGCAACACCGTTTAGTGCGAGGCCTGAATGGTTCCATCATCTAAGCAACGTCAACGAAAATGTTTGTAGCCACAGACCGATAAGTTTAGTTTTAGATAAAGTACGCGTCATAGTTTCAACGCGCGAACACTGTTGATATGTACCTTTCTTTGGACCTCTACGGGCACCGCGAATCTATCCCCCTCTTGTCCGCCATGTTGGATCGATCGGAGCGCCCCCTATATTCGCTGAAACTCCTCGTTGCTGAGCGCGTGCAGACGGCGAGCTTCCGCAGTTCGTTTACCACGTGCATTAAACACCATCAAGATTACCGGTCTTGGCAGCCTATTAATTAGTGATGGACCGAATCTGCCGAACTTCAGATTCGGCAAAGTTCGGCAAATGCCGAACTTTTGCAGGAAAGTTCGGCAAAAATTCGGCGAAAATTCGGCAAATGTCTGCGCACACGCGAGAACTCGACGGAGCCTTCGACTGCAAATGGACGCCGTCACTGGACGCCGTGCAGTCGTGCGGTTACCATCGTGCAGTGTAGTACAACCAACGGTTACGGCGCGGTGTGGGGTAGGCAAGACGATAACTGTGCGTTTGTGAGCGAATGTGGTTTTCTTCAATATTTTCTGCCTCAAGATTAGAAGATCGACCAGTAATTTACGCAGTCCACTTCGCAAGTGACAAAGGATGCGGTGCATTCTGAGACATTGGCCGACAATTACATACTCCTCGCAATTATAACAATTCTGTTTTCGGCTCAGGGGTAGTGTGTTCCAAAACAAAATAATATTGCTTTTTCAATTAGCGTTATTTCGCGATTTTCATGTATCTGCAGAAAACTAAACACGCAACTATAATACGTACTCGACGTTACACATCCGACATTCATTCTCCCTATCTTTCAAAACGTTCATGTGTGTATAACACCAGAAACAGGCATTTTAAAGGTTAAAAACGAGACGTTGCAAATATGGAACGCACACTTTCATGAAAAGCTGACGTCAAGTGACTCAAATCGATGAACATGCATATTTACAATATTATTATTCTTTCTTCTGGGGAAGGCTCAGTAACCGTTGCATTCGTTTTCGCGCACGAAACGGTGACTCCCAGAAAAAGCAAGAACGCAGCGTTATTGCCCTCATTTTAGCAATGCACACACATGCAGGCAGGGGCGGATGCAGCAATTTCCTGAGGGAGGGGTCAGGTGTTGGTCAGCGTACCATATGCTTAGAAACCCCTCCCTCCTTCCTTCGTTTTGTGCCCCAAATTTTACACATGCGGAAATCAAGAGGGGGGTCAGGACATCGGGACCCCCCCTCTAAATCCGCCCCTGCATGCAGGCTTGCGCTGATAGTGCCTCAAAACCGAAACTCTTGTAGCGTGATTCGTGACAGCGCCACGCTCGCTTCTACCCAACCTCGTTGTCACGCCACTTCTGCAAGGAGTCACTAAAATTGCCAGTAAACACACAAAAACGACACCGATAAAATTATCTTGCAGAATATCACCTTATTTTGTAAACATGTTGCATTTAAGGTAAGAAAAAAAGAAACATAAAACCTTTTTTTTCGCCAGAAAAAAAACTGAAATATTAACGAGTTTGGTAACAATGTATTTTTGCCGAATCTTTAGAAAAGTTCGGCAAAAGTTCGGCTTTGCCGAATCCCAAGATTCGGCACCGAACTTTCGATTCGGCAAAAGTTCGGCCCATCACTACTATTAATGTGAGCTCCTTCTGAGCGTGCGCTCTAAACATCGCCCTCAAATATGGCGTTGAGAGAATACACCCTATAGACCTTTCCAATGTTTACAAATCCACAGCCCAGCGTGCGATCTCCACGGCTCAGCACGCGCGTGCGCGTCGCTCTGGAAAACGAGCAAAGCACGCGCCATACGCACGAACACTGGAAATGGCACCGGCCATACGCTCTTTCTTGGTGTTTTCGAGAACTTCCTCACAACTCTTCTGACACACTTCTCGCTCCTTTTTTTTTTCGTGACTAATTGTGATTTTGTGCGAGAACGAGGAAGAAGCACCAGCAAATATGCCAGACAACAGTCCTCCACATCCAGGACAGAATCAGCGGCATTTTTCCTGAACTTCTCAACATCGAAATTCAGCCACCTTTAAAAAAGTGGTGCAAGTGCTCGTCGTCTGCTAAATGTCATTTTTGATATTTAGGAGCATCTCTCCGCTTTAGAAATTTACAATCATGAAAATAGATTTTACCCAGAAGGAGAAAAGCTCTAATTAAAAAATTGTTTAAATAGCAGTCCTTTTTTTCTGAAATCGGTTTCTTGCATACAGAGTCAAGCTTCAAAATAGTCCTACGATTTAAAATTATTTTAAACAAATCTTAATACGAATACAACCAAACCGGCCCTGCAGAGAACCAGCCTAGTACATCTAGCATACAATTTTTAACAATGAGATCAGATGCTAGAATGCTATTTGAGAAAACCCAGAACGCACGAAGCACATTCTTTGAAACTAATCATAATAGTGTGATGTTTACAAAAAAAAAAAAAAAAAAAAAAAAAAAAACTGCTGGCATTGCATTTGTGTAATACTTTTTGTATGCAGAGTTCTTATGTTTACCAGAAGCATGTCCTGAAATGTCGTCGCTGCATTACGATGTGACGACACTTCAAAATCGCATGAAAAAATCACTTTAATAAATATGTAAAAAAATGGGAGCGTACTAATTAAGAAAAAAACCTAAGTGCGAAACCACACAAGTCCTTCGTCTATTCATTAAAAAATAAGAATGCGACAAGGATGCATTACAAGTCTAGAAACTTGGAATGTGTAGAGGCATGTCTCCAAAAATGACAAAACTTGCATTTTTTGCTTTTTTATTGTGAGTTAAGTTTTGACAAATGCCTGCCACGTTCTGCACCAAGGCACTGATGACGAATTGGCCATTTAATTGCAAAAATCACTAAATATGTGGCACGCGCACTTACCCAAATGAATTCAAATTACTCCGGCGTTTTGTGTCACGTGACAACACAGAGTGGAAAACCCTGGACGCTGGTAGGCTTTAGAATGCCAAGGAACAAAACCCTTACCCTTGGCGCAAGATCGAGCAAATTTTGGAACACAGCCATGACTCGCCGGCTTTTGTGACATGATTTATGTCTGCTTGGGGACCACTTTGGATCCATGGGCGGAATAGGACGAATTCTCGGCACCTTACCCTCCTGCAACTTCCAAAGGACTTCCTGGAGCTCTTCGTAAGATGTCAGCTCGCGCTGGAGTCTTTCGGACCTTTTGAGGAACCCACATTTCCACGGCCATCACGTAAATCCCAACAAAATGAATGAAAACACGACAACAACTCGTTTTTCTGGCCAGTATATATTAGAACGGCAACTACGGTACAATCGGGCATCACTGTACACGAGAGAAAAAGCCAAGAGACCAACAAAATATAAACTTACTCCCAAACTATACACTATAAACACAAAACTTGACAACTGCCACGCAAAGTCCGCCGTCAGATTGGGGCGCGCGGTGGGCACGACGCACAGACGGCTACTGTCCGCTGCATCCCGGGGAAGCACGTTTGTGCTGACTCGCTGCACGTCGAAGGGAAGGGCACCCTCCAAAGAAATTCTAACATCGAGGAACCAGGCTACTCGCGACCAGCCTTGTGGTACATTGCACTTGAAAAGTCCAAAACTGCCCTTGAGACTAACACACGTACCAACCATTACACGAAGAAAAACACTGCACGCCAAAGAAGTGATTCATATCAAAGTGCTACTCTCGCATCTTTGACAAACAGCCAAGTCCGTGGCACTGAGACGTGAGCGCCCGTGACAAGTGCATAGAATGAACAACTACAAGGTCAATTTCTCTGGATCGCGAACGAGTTGGTGCTACCTGCAATAATAGCTCAATCAAATGTTTCGGGCAGGCACGAGGTCAAGAAGCCATGATATGTACATTTTCTTTTCCAGCCTTCTGACAAAGTTAAGGTTCCGTGTAACCTAACAACTTACCGAGTTAACGATATGCCTTCACCACAGGCTGCCTTGAACAACAAAATAAAACAGGGGGCTATTGCACTTCCCTTTTGATTATGGCATGCCGACGACCTTGACATAATAAAATTCACGTCACACATATATTATATTTTCGGCGCCGAGAAAGTGCTGCGCTTTGACCTTAGCCGTCTTGGAATGCAGTGCAACAACCATTGGTGCAGATGTCGACAAGAGGTGCACCATTTGAGGCCCTTGAAATGAAACTCGAGGCCTTACCGTTTGATACTTATGGCTACTCGTTTAATGCAAAGACAATATCGTCGCTGCCTCCTTGAGGGCACCAATTTCAGCTAATTTATGAACTCTGCTCACTGTATTGGCTCGTAATCTTGGGCTGACACAGCAATCTGGAAATCTATACAACGTCAAGTACGAGAAGAAAGAGTGGTTTGTGGTAATTTCCTTGCCCCTAAGTGGTGGCTTGTACTGGAACTCCTAGTGACTACAAAACCTCACAGACTCGCTGCTTTGTACCTTCACAGACCTATACAAGAGTGCTGAACTAGACTAAACAGTACTAATCCGTGGATGCTCCCCTAAAGAAGCTACACATCTCGTGCAACTCTCAAAGAAAAAGAAAGCGTAGGGAGAGAGACCCGCGCAGAACCCAAGCAAACATACTAGTTCCTTCCACATGCACAAACTTGAATAAAAAATAACCTGCACACAGCTCCGCAAAGGACCTTGATCGCTGGCCTAGCCGCACGGACATAGGCAGTCTCAACCAAAACAGATGGTTTAAAAATACGTGACAGTGCCTCAACAGGCGAATGAATGCGTGAAATTAGCAGAATGTGGAAGCCTGACGTTTCGTTTGAAACCAAATTGAACTTTTGAGTAACGCTAGGACAAAAAAACTGTTGTTCATCAAACTGGTAATGGGCCAACGACCAAGACGGTTATTAAGACGACCCTCCTATAAAACTTGCATCGCTATGCCATTAACTGTTTGACAACAAAGTGCAGGTTTGTCAAAGTGCAACTGGTGTCCCACGTTTGCTCCGTGGACAGAAATCAGTTGATCTGTAAGCCTGGGGAGAATCATCCCCTCCTGATCCGCTCGACAGTGCGCTGGTGTTACGAACGCAACGTCGCTAACAATCAAGTTTAAATGAGAAAGGCGGACCCAGCCAAATGTCCCAACACTCGGAACACGAGTCAAAGACGGCATCGAAAGCTTCGCGTTCGTGTCCACTTCTGACACGGAGATATTCGTAGAACGTTCCTTTAGGTGCCACTACGGACCAGTCTAGTCCAACGGCAAGTGTGTCTGAAGAAACGGGACTACGACTGTCTGTCCCAGTTACTGAACAACCGAAGTCATTCGAGTACTAACTTGAGTCGTCTGCTCAACGCCCCAGGAACAATAGGAACACTGAAAGCTGTTAGGACACCAAGCCCTAGCTAAAGCTTCTAATCTGCATCAATAACACAAACAAACAAAAAGAAAACAGGACTGCTGCTGCTGCTAATGTGAAACCTAACAGATCAATGTCCGAGGAACCCCGATTTGATCTGCTACAGTGAATTGAGAAGATCATGGTGGTACGGAGGAAACGTTTGGTCATAGTGAAATTTTGAAAGTATGCTCTCGTAGTGCAGAAACTACCAGAATGATACTATCGCTTTGAGCCGTAAAAAGTCCACGGTACAACAGAACACGTGCAAAATTAATTAATTTGACACCAATGTGCTGAAAACATGCTGCAGAAAACAAACCGAGTTGGTAGGTTTGCAGTTACTGGTGAATGCAAAGACCATGTTTACCTCCCTAGCAATGAGCAAAGGGCCAATATACATTCTCTCCCTTCTTTCCCAAGAAATGTCTTTTCCAGCATTAATATCCGAGATTATGCAGAAACATGAGAATGCCAAGCTGTGAACTATACAAAGGTAAACACTGCCGCACCAGTGCACAGCATCACATTTCTATACACAAAAGTGCCAACTATCAAGGAACGGTGCATGTTCCTTAGTCTCAGGCCGCCTTTTTCTCAAGAAAAATGGTTGCAAGTTTTTAAAAAATATTGTTTCAGCCTAAAATTCAAAACTGAAAATACTACCGTAACAAAACCCTTCCCGATTTGTTATTTTTTCAAAAGCATCGGAAGATAGCCCATTGTTAGCAATTGCAGGGCACTGGCCAGTGGTGACCTCGGCAGAAATTGTTATACATAGCCAAGGTGGGAGATAAGCGAACGTTGCAGACTGGGAAGGACAGTTGTCTTTGGTTTATCGCCCCCTCCCTGCGATTATAAGTTTTTTGTAGGTCACGGAATCTAAAATTGGCACCTTTTAAACTTTATTTATTGATCGCACACCGAATGTAAGCCCACTCCTTATTTTCACTTGATTTGCTTTCGATTTTAGGTGGGCTATCTTTGGGGACATTACGGTAGGCATATTAAACCCTACAGTTTCTTCATAGAAGTCGTAATATGGTAAGTTACAGAGATCCGCCGATCGGAGGCACGATTGCATGCACTGCAGTCCACGTACAACGATACCACATCTAAAGATGTACCGCTTATAACAACCAGTTTCTAGAGTGTTCAAGACTTGAAACGATCAGTGTCTAGTCCAGACACTACGATGATCAGTTATAACGATTGAAATTTCAAGCTTTCTCATTATCGTCGTAAGTGGACCGCACTGTATGCGAGGAAGCGTCCCAGTTCTGTGACAGCATTATTGGAGAACTACTACTTGAACATCCCGAAACAGTGTATGCGTGTCTTCTGAACAGTCATACAAGTTACCACCATGTTCGCCATGTTGCACAAAGAAAACATGTCCTCGCAAATTACCAGGCTTAAAGTACTACGCAATCTAACTTCTTTCTAGACAAAGTTTCCAACGTTGCTGTCATGACGGAGGAGAGCTGGTACGCTACAGTCTCTGCAATCCATTTCCAAACTACAACTGCCGCTAGAGAACTCGACCGCATTATTTTCCCCCTTTGCCTCGGGCCTCGTAAAGAGGACCCCAAGAATGTCTCCTGCAAAGGGCCTCCACCAAAGTGGTTAGAGCCCGCCATGTTGGACGTGTGGTCGCGCGGGAAAATGGGTGCCGGTACGTACGAGCATTTCTTTATGAACAGGATATGTGGATGAAACGAGCAAAGGGCCCGTGGTACCAACGCAACCTCCTCGAGACAGACTCAAGAGTGTGGAGGTAAGGGGCCACCCAACTACCAAGATATAATAGTACAGCACACGAAGGCGCCACGTCGGGAAAACCGCGCAACGCCGGAAAATCACCTAAGCCATCCACACAACGAAGAAAGCCACAATTTCAGAGCAGGATGCTGGCAACAGTCTAGCCTCCGGGTGTAATGGGAGGTTTCATAAAGAATGATAATGGTGATCTTTGGAGTTCTTTAACGGCAGAAAAGCAACAGAGGCTATACCGAATTTGACTAAATTAAAGGGCCATTAAGTGGGTGCTGAGGACTGCTACCACTGTCTACCACTCCTCACGGATGGTACTAGTGGAGAGAAAAACCCACCAGAAAAAAGCTCACCACAAAACCGTCATATGCGGCGAAAAGCTCACCTACGAATCTGTGAATTGAACCTTTACTCGACTGAAATACGTTAATTTGACTAAAATATGTATGGATGTTTGGCAAATTTTTCTGCTGGATTTACCAGCAGAAAAATATTTCTTACTGTGAGCCATACACTGGTTGGGTTGCACAACGAAAATAAAGCTTTGCTATTGAACGGTCAATAGAAGATAGCCCAGAAAAATCTAACCAGCGTAGTGAACTTGAGTTGTTCCTGGATGACCGTGCTAAATTGCCATGTAAATAGTAGCCGACACTGGAAAAATAAATTCCTAAATCTTCATATTGTTGCCATTTATTTAACCCTTTGATGGTCGTTGCCGTACATGTAGGGCGGCGATTACACATATCAAAGTATGCACCTAAATGCGAAACCGTGTGCATTGCGAGACGTGTTGCTATTTCTTCGGTATTTGATGAAGCATAAACGTTATATTCAATGTGCTTCGTTTTGCTGGGTTCTAAAATTTGGACGCTCCGCACAGGTGACACATACAAGACGGTTGCCTTGCATGACGGCTTCTATGGCTTTTCCGATTCAGACTTTTAACACTTCCCACAATTGCACAATTGAATTCGGAGGATGAGAGCTTAGTATCCCACGAAGAACCTTTTTAAAGTACCTCAGGTTTGGAATCTGGAACCGCCCGAATGTCGTAAGAATGGAATGAAAGAAATGTGACAACATTTTGCCCATAATTTTTTCGTTTGATGCTTGTAAACTTCAGTAGCCTGCAAGCACTACCTTAAAATCCCGTAAGGGCACCCTCCACCCCAAAGAATGCCCACCCAGTTTTTCTGACTAAATATCCGTAACATAAAAATTCTGAAACATCGCCCACCCGGAAATCACACGAGTTGTGCGATCTGTGGTACTGGTACGTGCAACAAACGAGTTCGCAGCAAGTTCCCCCCGTTTTTGTCTGCAATCTGCGTGTGCAATATCGCTGCCCATGACATGCAAATTCATCGCAAGGTGCCGTGTTTTTTGTCCACGATTTTCGCGCGCAATATTAGTTCCTATGCTACGCAAGTTTGTAGCCAGTTTCCGCATTTTTATTGCACCGTGAAACACAAATCTGCTGCACCCGAAGTCTGCTGCATCCTTTCCCGTGGCACAGGAGTTTGTAGCGAATTCCCACGTGTTCATTGCGATGCGAGACGTAAATTTGCCGTGTCAGCAATCTGCAATATCAGTTTCCGTGTCCTGTGGTTGTGGCAGGTGCCCTTGTGTTTATCACTAATTTTAGGTGAAGTTTTACTGCCTCATCCCCAAAGATAGCCCACCTCATGTTTTTCACCATCTCTCACTTCATTTTGTGTGGACACTCTAACGGGATTTTACGGTACATGCTCCCACTAAAACACAAAGAAAAAACTTGTTCATTGGCCCTTTTTTTATACTCTTCCTTTGGAAACAAAACCCAATCACTGCAAGACATCTTCTGGGAGGGAAAAAAACTCTACCGTCAAAGGGTTAAGAAATTAAGTACACACCTTACATTCTTAGCCATTCCAATCGGCAAGTAAAGTTGATATTTCCTAGAACCAGGCTATGTCAGAATTAAATATGGCACAAGTCAGGCGATAACAGTCGACATGAAAGTAAACAGAAGGCCGAAGCTCCCTTTGAAACGTCTGCGTGGAACGTATGTATACGTAGCTCTTTTGCTGCTCTAAAATGTTCTATTCAATCCCAGAATATGAAAACTAATTCTTCACCTCATCGAATGAACATTAAATTGATAATGACCACCTCGTATAAAAATTAAATGCGATGTGATCTTTTCTCGGTGTCCATCAAAAGACTGGTGAGCTTTTGTCCAGTGAGGTCTTCTCTGGTGAGTTCATCTCCGGTGAGCTTTTCTCTGGTGAGCTTTTCTCCGGGATTCAGTCACACACGGACCCAACCGTCTGGTCCAGTGAAGAGAAAAGAAACTCTGCTTCGAGGCTCCATAAAAGAAAAGGCTACGCGCACCTACTTCCTTGGGCACGCATAACAGGCTGCAGGTTAGAATCACCACTGATGCTACCTCTCACGCAACAAACAAAAAGTAGACAAGAGAATGGTTTAAGGCAATGAACCGTGACAATGAGGTTGTACTTCTCAGTTTCTAAAACACAAAACAACACTTTCAAATTCGATTAGAACAAACTCAAGTCAGAGCCAGCTTGGCCAAACCGACGACCTTTGCAGCTCGTCAAAAACCCCTCACTCTTCGAAGCGTCCCTAAGACATTGTGAAGATGCCCCGGACTGAGAGGCCCAAGCGATGCCCCAGTAATGGCCGGTTCGCACATTTGCGGTCGAGTGCGATCGCTTACGACGAGAGACCGCACTGGTGCCTTCGGTCGGAGAGCCCCGAACCACATCCGAACCGCCTGTATTTTCTCCTTTCTACGCGTCGTCGCTTCAGCTCGGGCTCCAAATACTTTTGGCAATGTTACGAGGAACTAGTTTTTCGTAGACTTAATCTTGTAGAAGCCGCAGTCTGTTGCAGGTTAAGAAAAGCAGTACAAACTCCTCTTGCTAAGCCCTGCACTCTTTCCGCTTTAGCGGAGCAAACTTTACGGAGGAGGTGAGGGGAGAAAATCGCATGGCCAGCAGAGAGCATTATGGGAGGAACTTCCCCCGCCCACAAACCGTTCCGGGGCTACCGGGCCACTCCACAGACAGCGCATTCTCTCGTCGTAAGCGGTTGCACTCGGACGCGTGAACCAGCCGCTCGTTCCAAAGGCACTCAGGTGCCCCCCACGTGGCTGTCCCACAGCTCCCACAGACACTGGTGGTGCAGGGCAAACAGCGCGAGGGCCAGGCAGCCGCTGACGCAGCCCAGCACGCCGGCGCACACGCCTGGACGAAAGGCCCTGGACGACGGGGTCGCCGCGAGGGGGCGCGCTCTCCCGCGAGGGCACCCAGCGGCGCGACTCTGCCCCCGCCGTCACGACACCTGCGACGCAGGAACGAGTCTCAGTGGCAGGAGGGAAGGAGACACCGCGACGAGTCTGTTTTGTGGCCTCCGTTGTGCACTGTTTCGGAGGGGCCGGACAAACTGGTTTTCTAAACATGATAAAAAACAGCTCGAACAACAAACACGAAGTGCAGAAACATACACGACAGGATGAAGCTGTACAGTTTATTCCTGTCGTGTATGTTTCTTTACTTCATCTTCGTCGTTTGAGCTGTTTTCATTATTTATAACATTTACCAACTTGCCCAATTCGCTAAATTAGTATGATTTCCTAACGTATCATGCTATAATTTACAGCGGGAGTGCCCCTAGGTAGCGAGCTTATTATTTAAAAGTATGAATCAATACAGCATCACGTAGGTAAAACAAAAACTAAAAGCACATAAAAAAAGCCTTCTCTTTATAAAGTAACTTTTTTTTTGCAAAATCATCGAATAGCATTATGGGCCACTAGGGATTGTCATCTCAGAAAATGATGTTGCCAAGAATCCTTAGAGATTGCATAAAATATTATGTTCCCCTGGATAATAGTGTTCCCAAGAATCCCTAGGTAGATCTCAAGGATTGTGTTCTTCAGGGTCAGTAGTCACCCCAGAGGTTATGTAGACAAGGCCCCCAGGGATCCCATGGGGTGTGTTTCCAATCCCCACCCCTGCTTGCTTCAATCTGGATGAGCATCATACCGTTGTGTGTCACTACTGAGTGATGCACGTTAAAAACAAAACGTTAGCAGTGGTATTGAAATTACTCATCTACAACATAAACCAGTGTCGGCACCTCAAAGCAAACCAACCTTACACTGTATAAATACAAAACATCTTTTTTTTTTTTTTTTGAGGGGGGGGGGTGTTTATTTTAAGGAAATACCATTTCATGGCATCCTTAGGAATTGCATTCATGAAAATCTGTAGGCATCGTACGGATTATGTTCTCACTGATCCCAAGTGATCCTGGGGATTGTGTTCCTTTAGGCCCCTTGGGATCCTCGGAATCGCAATCCTTAGGAACCCAGGTGAAAATGAGTCTACTTCCAGCTGGATTATGGAACTGGTCCCAGCTGAAAATGAGACAATCCAGTTGGAATCCAGCTGGCCCGTCTCATTTCCAGCTGGGGCAAGTTCCATAATCCAGCTGGAAGTGGCTGATTTTCGCCTGCGATCCCAGGCAATGGCATTGACTGGGATTCCTAAGGATCATGTTCCCCCAAATCCCTTGGAATACCAGGGATTGAGTTCTTGGGAATCCCCAGTGGTCCTGGGAATTGTGTTCCCCAAGAACTCTAGGGATCCCAGAGATTGGATATCCTGGGGTCATCAGGGAATGGCACTCCCTGGGATAGGGAGCTGGCATCCCCAGCCGGACGCACCTGTATCATGTTGGCCGAGCGGCAGAGCGGGGCTTGGGGCTCTGCGGCCTGGCTCCTGTGGGGCTGGCTCCAGACCTCGCACAGCTGGTACTCCAGGCTGCCACAGCTGTAGCGGTTGCGGGGCTGCGACAGCCGTGGAGGTTCGGGGAACTCATCCAAGCTGGAGGTACGCCGCAGCCAGCCTTGGATTACCGGGCACGACTGGGCACGTGGGAGAGCTGCAAAGAGGGAACCGTCAGCCACTGCAGCAGCACAGACAACCAAAAGGCTGATTTGTAGCACAGGGACGTCGCAAACTTCTTCCACACCTCGAGGTTCAAATGGTTTGACCAAACCTCTCGGCAAGCTTCGACAAAGTCCAACTTGTCAACAGTGTTTTCTGCACAAAAAATGCATATTCTGGAAAAACACAGCTTACAAATATGTAATGAAAAGACAGTTAAAGTACAGGCGAGCCGGTGTATGTCTACATTTAGAATTTCTCTTTCATACCCCAGTCTCAGGTTAACTTGCAGCATGGTAAACTTACAAAGTAGTTTTTTTTTTAAACATTAGAAAATCGGCGCGTTCAATAGTGGCCCCGGGAGTCGATGAGCTTGCGCTCCTCCCACTAGATCGCAAAAGACAACTTCCGGGTCACGTTCCTCCGGAGTAATGGAGTCACGCTCTCGTGAACCGAGTCTCAAGACGGTGCGCAAGGAGTGGAAAGGGCACGGTATGACGTATTTCCGTATCCACGGTGAAGTTCTGGTGCTGAAAGAGAAGAAACAAACAAAATGGCGGGACAAGCTGCGACGGCCGTGGCGTGGATCTGCGGTTTGCTCACTTTTGTTAGTGAAAGGTGCTCAAAGTAAGGAATATGCCTTTGAACTTCGTTTCCAGCTAAGGCTTATTTCTGGAAGTGCCTTGGAGCATATTTTGTTTGTTTTGGATATGCTAATAAATCACGTAAAAATTTGTTTGATGCCAGGTTTTTTTATTGCCGCTGCACAGAAACTTGGTGATTATCAATGGTAGTCGTGTTCGTGCTGAACAGAGGAAGGCAGAATATGGACGTGACTTTGGTGCGCGGTTGTACACTCACACAGCGTGATCCTGAATAATGTTCTGTTTGCGTAGCTAAATCCGAGTGTGTGCGAGTATGGGACGTTGGCTGATGTGTGCTTCGGCCGACAAAACCTTGATCGCCGTGTGTATATAACACATACAGTGATAGAAACTTTGTAAAGAAGTGCAGAACAAACATATCGCTGCATAAAAGTGCAGTAACCGGAGGCGTAGGTTCACCAAGCTCCATATTTTGCGTGTGTTGATGACTTTTTTGTGTGTTTTTATAACGGTAGCATCCTTCGCACCGCCCTGCAAAGGGCTCGATCACTTTGGATCGCTTCAAACAGCACCGCTGATGTCTACTCTCTTTTTCTTTAATGACCTTGTCAAAACTTTATTAATGCAGGCATCAGATAAAAGCAAACGTGCTCGGCGTCATCTGCTTCCATTTTATTCGGAGACCATCTGCCACAGGAGAGGAAGCGGAAACTGCATTGGAGCAGCAGCTGCACTTTTTTCGCCGTTCAGTAGGCGCTCCGAGAATTCCGACTCGAGTTACTCTGTTCGGAGCTGAGGGAGGCGCTACTAAACGCGCCCACAGATCACCAATGTTTACACAATATAAAACCAGACATAAATACTTTAATGGTTTAGTTAGTTTATGAACGTAAAACAATAAAACAATACACACAGCAAACATTTCACGCTTCATCTGCCATGTGGTGTCATCTTGCTATAAATGTTTGCCCGTGCACGTCTGACGAGCCAGCAGTCTAATTTCTGCTGAACTCTCGTGGAATCTTGCGTTAAAAGTTTAAAAAGTCAAATTTGGTCAAACTTCAAACTTGGCAAGTTCGCAACATCCCTACTAGAGACATCTGGAGAGTGGGCAGTCAGCCTGCATTAACCCTTTTACCGAACTAAACACTTTTGGAGAAAGTCTGAGCCATTTACATGCAGGAACCGAATTTTACAGCTCACTTCGAGCCCTAAAGAAAGAGATAAAGAAAGGCATCTTTCCTCTCGTCTACAAAACATCAGTAGCGAGTCAGCGCTTGTCTCATCTTTTTCACCTACCACTCCTTGTTCTTTTTCACCGCAATCATTTGAATACGCACAACAATGCTGAAGCCGCACGTCCAGCCTTCAAACCAGCAATGGCAATAAAGCAATGAAGACCTTCCAACGGAAACGGAGCCTACCGTGGGGCCCGTGGAAGTGGGCGGGCGGCACCTTCTCTGGGGGTCGGTCGTCGTCGTCCTGGCTGGCCAGGGAGGAGGAGGAGGAAGAGGAGGACTGGGGCTGTGCCGGGGGCGGTTCCGGGAACGTGCGACTCCACGAGGAGGATGAAGAGGCGCTCGTCACCCCGGAGTCGTGCGAGCCCTCCAGCTCCGTCGACGACGAGAAGCGGCCCGAGACGGACTGCCAGGGTGGGGCAGAGGATGCGCAGCCGTCCTCTCCTAGAAAACGGGAAGGCGCGGGAGCGTTGGCACCCGTTCGTTACAAGATAGGGTGCACCAAAAACGGAGAGGAAAATTGGGCACGTATTGTCACGAATGACGATTGACGAGGCGACGAAAACGGAAGCGAACTAGACGTATAATGGGGATAACCTGTGCCCAAAACAAAATACACAAAGGCTAGCGTCGCAGGCGTCGATGTCGACGAAACAGCAGGATCGAACGCTGGGGCGAGACTGACTCTGCTCGCATTGCGGAGTCCCTTATGTGCCCGAGTGGGTTCTGGAACATTCGGCGTACAACTTTCGGCACGTAGAACATTCGGAACTTGATCAGATGACAATGTTCTTGAACTTACGAGAACGCCAAGTTGAAAGAATAGATAAAAGAACATAGTGCTGACTGCAATCGAACTAGACCTTCCGCGTGACAGGTGCGGTAACCATTCGGTCACGCTTGTGCTCGCTCGGCAACGTGCGTGGCAGTATGACCGACTAAATGCTCACTTACGCATAAGTGCTGGGAAGGTGCCGATTCGTTATAAAGCGTCTCTCGACCTTTTCTCGTAGACTCGGAGACACGGGGAATGCATTCTGTGCATGTGTGACATCGCGCGACATTAACGAGTCATGCGATTCTGCGATGTTACACGATGTCATAGTGCCACGTGACTCTGACATCGCACGACGCCGGGGTGTCGTGCGGCACTTGGAACTCGAGGGCACATTAGCAATATAGCCCCCATGGGGCTATACTGCTTATATGGCCTTGACCTGTGTATCGTTAGGGTGTGAAGTTCGAGCGCAATGTGGGGCTTTCTAACGAAAGCCATCCCTCAGACACGCTGGATGCACCAAACGATTCCCCTCGCAACGAGGGGCGGAACGTCACCCTCCTTCGTAAGACCAAGCTCCGAATTCAGGAAGGCTCCTTTCTTTAGATCGGCGCCTTTCCTTCTGCAAGTGGGTGCACTTATGAATCGTGAATCAACCTTAACTCACATTGGCTCCTTTAATCTAAGGTTTCCTGACATGTTTCCTTAGAGAATGAAGGAAGCGACGTAACTATGTTCGATGCTTCCTTTCCTCTTCCAAGATGGTAATATTCTGGGCGATGGGAGATGTTTTCTGCATCGTCGATTGCTGGTACAGTGTGCTAGAAAGGCAAGAGGCCAAGCGATGCTGTCATCCTCCATTTATGCTCTGGCAGTGAGTGGACGGTGCATTCTGGTGTCGTGCCATTTTGGCTTTTGGGTCTCCTTGCATGGACTAGCGAGATTTGAATCTGTGTGTCAACGGTACTATGCATCGGCAAGCTCCGAGAAGTGGCCGGCTCACGCCTACCCTCTCGGGTGCAGCACAGCACACGCACAAAACTGAAGAAAAACAAAAAACTTGATCTTGCCATTAGAGATTGAACGCCAAATTAACGGTGAGTGAGTTCGAATTTAATGAAGGACGCCTACATTTACCCCGCACACTGTCCCCACGATTTCGCCGAACGTCCTGGTTCACCTAAGCGAGCGAGTGTCTTTTAAAAGCAACCGAAGAAAAGAAAAGAGCTATGAAGCTGTCGTGCCTGCAGGCTAACCCAATGTGGACTGCGAAATTCCAGTTGCGATCATCACCGTGTCGAAGGAGATTGCATGGCACAACAAGCATTGGATGCTTCGCGACGCCAAAGGAGTGTGTTTCGCTCCGAGTTAACTGAAGGCCCGTTCACACGCTTGCATTCGACTACCGTAAAATAATGGTGGAATGTGCACCCCCCTTTCACCAAAAACTGGGTTAATCTAGACATGGGTGCCTGTGCGGTCAAATCGGGTGCTTAACAATATAAATTGCAGAATACCTTAGTTTGGGAAATGTTAATAGTGGGCGCTTTTGCGGTATTTTACGGTTTGACTAACTGAAAAGACCGGTTTTTAAGCCTCTTGCAACAGCTTACGCCCGGTTCCACAGTAGCGCATCCTGTCGTAAGCCATTGCAAGAGGCTTAAAAACCCATCTTGTCTCAGTCGGTCGCAAGTATGTGAACGGGCCTTAAAGCTCTAGCTGTGAATGTAGAAAAAGCAGTGTTCTTCACCAGAACGGTGCCCGCATTTTCTACTTGAAAGACGATCATGCCACGGAGGCAGGCGCAGCAGTGTGAAGAATACAAGATGTACAAAGTGTATAGCATCGGGGCATGGCATCGCTGAATGAAGTCTCCCAATGAACCTCACAACGAGCTTGCAAGGTGAAGAAGAATGTAAATCTCGAGTTGCTTTCAGCATTAACTGCCAAGGAAGGACAACGAGGAAAGGAATACCTCGCATACATCTAAAGAAAGCCCTCTTTAGAAAGCAATTACGCCCCAAACCTGACGCAAAAAGAGTGTGTGGAATAAACTTTTACCAAAGATTGAATACAGCCTTATTATTTCGGTCATTTCTTCGGACAGTTTCTCTAAGTATAAAATACCAGGCTATGAGGTGTTCTCTTATACTCGTCCAATGGGAAGAGGAGGGGGTGTGGCTGTGTTTATAAAAAATAGTTGGTCGGTGGCCGAGTTAAAATTTTCATTCCAACAGGCAGAAGTAGTTACGCTGCACTTAAGCACTCCTTTGTTATCCCTGGTCCTTTTCTCAATCTATCGTCCCCCGTGCTGTAATGCACGGTTATTTCTGGCCGAATTAGATTTAGCTTTGTCCACTCTTTCATCTGAAGAGCTTGTATGTGTAAACGGCAATATTAATATCGACGTACTTCGTCCCACAGTGACCATAGTCGCAGACTACCTTAATGTTTTGTCTAAATGGGGCCTAAAAGCAACAATTCAGAAGGCAACACGGGAGGAATTCATCTCTGGCCAGTTGGTGGTATCTAACATTGATCCTATAAACGTACGAGCACAGAACGTAGTAATTCAGTCTGCAATTATTGAAACGAAACTTGCTGATCATTATTTTGTCTGTTGTTCATTAACACAGATATCTAAGCCGTTGACTTATGTTGGCGCTGTGAGGGAGTTGTCAATAGTTGATCCCAGGCACTTCGATAAACTTGTGGAGCAACATGATTGGAATACTTTTCTTCTAACTACATCTCCAGCTGACGGTTATGAACAGTTTGTAGCTCAGTTTAACCTTTTTAAAAAGGCGGCTACACGCACTGTAAAAATTAAACATCGTAACATAGACCAGAAATGGATGTCTTCAGAAATATTGGCAGCCATCAAAGAAAAAGATCTTTTATGGGCACAGTCAAAACGCTCCCCCGGTAACACTATGCTACGATTGAAATTTAAGCAATACAGAAACAAGGTTAATGCCATGATTCGTCAGGCCAAACGCATGCACTTTAGAAATAAATTTAAGGACGCTCGTTCTGATATAAAAAAAACTTGGTCGCTCATCAACGATCTCCATGGTACGAAGAAGTGCACTAAAAGCAATGATAGCTACCTTCTTTTGCAATTCTCTACTGATGGACAGAGTATTGCTAATGAATTTAACAATTTTTTCTCTCAAGTATCAGGTATTGCAGGGCAACACCCAGCTTCATGTACCTTAAACAAAAGTGTCTTAGACTCGGCTTATCTTCCTCTTCTCTCTGAAGAAGAGCTTAGGTCAATCCTTTTTAGCCTTAAGCCCAATAAATCTCCAGGTATCGACGGTATTTCAGTTAATGACTTGCGCAGAAACTTTGAAGGGATTAGGGCTGTTCTACTTTCGATTTTTAATCACATAATATCTAATGGTATCATCCCATTAGCAATGAAAACCGCTTTGGTGATTCCATTATTCAAGGGAGGCGCGCGAAATAACGTAGAACATTATAGACCTATTTCCATTCTGTCTTGCTTTGCTAAAATCCTGGAAAAACATATGTGGATAACTATGAATAGCTTTTTAGATAAACACAGTTTACTATCTCCTTATCAGTACGGATTCACACAAGGCCGAGGTACTCAAATGCTCCTTGAGGACTTTTCTGACATGCTCAATTTATCTTTTGAACGGAATCAAGTTGCCTGCGCACTGTTCCTTGATGTCCGCAAGGCATTTGACAGTGTTAACCATCACATTTTGATAACAAAGCTTTCAAAGTTAGGCTTTCGAGGTTCTTTTCTAAATTTACTGGAAAACTTTCTACAGGATAGGCGTCAATGTGTTTCATTTGGAGGGTATCAAAGCGGATTCTTTTCAATCAAAGCGGGTGTCCCCCAGGGCTCGGTTTTAAGTCCACTGTTATATAATCTTTATGTTAATGACCTCTCCATGGTGGTACCAGTTTCGCTATTTCAATATGCTGACGACACCGTTATTTTATCTAGAGCGTCCAATTATTCAGATGCCTTTTCGTCTTTGCAAACTGCGGCAATTAAAACTATGGACTGGTTTGAAGCTAATTTAATTAAAGTTAATGCATCCAAAACGCAGCTAATATGTTTCCACAACCCTTTGAAAAAAGTTAATATGACCTGCTCTTTACGATTACATACGTCCAGGTGCCTATCATGTGCATGTGAGCCTATACAGCATATATCTTCTATAAAATATCTTGGCCTATTCTTCGACAGTGATCTAACCTGGAACACTCATCTTGCTCATGTGTGTAAGAAAATTCGTGCAGTGTCTTGTTTGCTATACAACATGAGATATTTTATGCCACTATCCGTTCGAAAAATTGTTGTACATGCTCTTGTTTACAGTGTGCTCCGTTACGGTATTACCGTGTATGGTCATTGTTCTCTGCGTTGGCAAATTAGAATTAATTCAATTCTGCGTTCTTTGCTAAAGAACATTTCCTATGATTTATGCCTTGATAAGGACATTGATGTGTTTAAAGCACTGCATTTGCCTGATTTTAACTCGCTCTTGATGGAAACTGTTGTTCATAGGCATTTTTGGGATAGTCAATTTAAAGTTCCATATGTCCCTTCTCGTATTCTTAGACCCAAAGAGCCTTACCGGATACCTCGATGTTCGACAAGATTTGGAAAAAGAGCTCGGAGTTACTATGTACCAGCATTTATGAACAAACTACCTTCTAGTATTCTAAATTTAAGAACAAAATACAAGCTCAAGAAAGCCCTGAGAAATTTTAGATCGTAAAGTGCTCACTAGTTTGCTTTTGTTATTCTGATTTTTGTGTGGATTTTATTTTACATGTTTCCTTTTGCAAACGGCATGGTTTCACTGATTTTAAGACGCTGCCAGTCAAGCCCAATGTGGCTTAGGCAGGTCAGACTTAACATACGTTTTGTTCATTTGCAATAAAATTGTCATTATTATTATTATTATTATTATTATTTTAGTTGAACACATACGATCGTGGGAAATTGCAAGTCACAAGGTCAAACAACTCAAGAGATCCAACGAGTCTAAAGATCCAATATTGGACGTCTGGACTCAACGAACCTCTCGAACCACACTGGATCTCTTGACTCATGTTGAACTAGTCAAAAGGTTAAATGGGTCAGGAGATCCAATATTAAGCATTGCAGTCTTCTCCTTCAAAATGCAGCTTACAATGGCTTCCCAAAATTATTCCAGAACACATCGGCACAGTCCTCGGAACCAAGCGAGCCTTATGAGACATGTAAATCACCGATGCAACTTAAAATTCGTCCAACAGATGATAGACTACATTGTTACTTATGGTGAATGCTATAACATCAATTGAACCTCAAAACACTGTCTTACAGAAAATCTTTTTTTTTTTTTTTAAGTTCCTAAAAGAAACAAAAATTTTTGATCTTATCTAATAGTGAACTCATTTCAGGTAAACCGAACCCGCTACGGAGTTGACTTTTAACTGACCATGGATATCTACTCATTAACCACTTAAGTGCCTTGGACGAGCTGAGCTTGTCGGCCACTTTCTGGCTAAAAAAGCCGTGGACGAGCTCAGCTCATCCAGTGGTTTTTTCGGTAGCCCTCAATTCCACAAACAAGGTAGGCTCGTCCGAATAGTTTTGCGGCGCTGATCATAGTAGATGGCAGCACTCGTTTTGGTTGGCAAATATTTTTTTCGCCTACGCTGATTTTTGCGTAATAAACTTTTCAAATTTTATGTGTAATACTAGAGGAATAACAATTCGAAACAAAAAAAAAGAATATGGCACTTTTAGGTTACTTTTGGAAAAAACAATTTGGCACTTAAGGGGTTAAATTTCTCGACTCATTGGATCTCTAGACTGGTTGGATCCCTTGACCCAGAACGATCGTGGGAAACTGCCAACAACTCCAATTTATACTTAATTTTACTATGAGTCTGAGCAAAAGAAAGGCTACAAGAGTGAACGCGACACTTTAAGTGGGTCTTCTACGCACGCGTGCTTGTGAAGTAAAAGCACAGTTGCATAGAATTTGCATTTAGGTGGTGCACACTAAAATGCACCAGCTAAAGGCAAATTCCATGCAAGTCTGAGCTTTCAATGTTTAGGTGCTGGTTCTGTTGGATCATTTTACAGCGCTAGGATCCACAGTGGTCACCCTATACAATGCAAATTTCGCAGCACTAGTGTTGTTTCTCACTGATTTCTAATCTCCCTGTTGGGTATCATTACCGAGGCTGTTCATGAGCACACAAAAAACAAAGGAAGGAAAGAAAGAGGACCTGGGACGTCCTCCTCGAAATCCTGAAGGAAGTGGCTCTCCGACGGACTCAGTGGACTCCCGGGGAGGGGCAGCCGGCTCGGCTCCGGACCACAGCCCTGGTTCAGCTCCACCACTTCATCCAGGGTCAGGGACCTGCCACAAACCCGTCACCTCACTACCATGGGGGGGGGGGGGGGGGGGCTCAACAAACAAGCACCGTATTTTCCCGACCATAGTCCACACTCTGCGTAGAGTCTGCAGGGGCAAAATTCAGCTATAAAAGAAAAGTTTTTGGGCAGGATGTGGGGATCAAGAAACGCTTCTTCAGTTCCCACAGCTGCACCAGCTGTTGCTCATATGACACTCATATCTCAATGACTCTCTCATATACAACACTTCTCCACTTTGAACCAGGTGGAGAGCCCGCAGCTCTAGAAATATATGACAGAAGGCTCGTCAGACTTGGGCAGCATTCCCAAATTTGCAGGGTTTCTCAAATGGGGGTTCCCGGACCCTTTGGGGACGCTGCAGGCCTCAACCATCAGTCACAGCGAGCAATAATTTTTTGTTTGTTGAATTGACGCTGGTTGTTTTGCATGCAGGGTGTCTACCAAATTGTTTTTTTTTTTTAATTCCCTGGCTTTTAGGTTTTCCCTGACTATTTTAATTGAATTCCCTGACCCGCAACTACAGACACCAAAATGAAATATGTTATAGATAGACACTATTCACAATGCAAAACGTTTTATTAAGTCAGATAAAGCAACTACCTTCAATTTGGAAGATGTTTAGAATACAGCATTGACCAGAATTTACTGTTTCAGGGAGTTTGGTCTTAGTACCTGATCAGTACATCCATCTGTTCTCTCTGGGTTACTTCATTCAGTGACTCATCAAAAGCAACCACCAGATATGGCACGCTAGACAGGCTTGCTAGCAACTTCTTTTGAAAGCATGGCCGATACCATGAGACAGTGTTTCTCAGCCATTGATGTTTCGCAGACCCCTGGTGGATCGGCGGAGATGATGGAGGACCCCATTTGTGGTGAGGGGTAGGGAAAGGTATAGGTTAATTATGATAATGATTTAATAAGCGAATACAAGTAAGTGCTAGTGTGGAGTAGACTTTCCTCATTGACATACACACGAGAGTACTCACCGAAAATTGCAACTTTTCTTCTCAATGGCATCAAAGGCTACTTTTATTGCCGGGCTTGGCTGACGAGGCAGGGCTTCGTGGACCCCTAAAATGCCTTCGCGGACCCCAAAGGGTCTGCGGACCCCCTGTTGATAACCACTGCCATGAAATATGGTATATCCCATTTTGCGCTTTCCAAGCTGCAATTTTTCTGGCGGTCTCAGACGTGGGGAACATCAACGGAAACAGCGAGGCAGACGCTGCCGCTGAACGGAAAGATCCACGAGTAATTATAGTGTTCAAGCACCACATGATCTCGGCCCTTTGTGACTTTCTTCTTCAAGAAAAAGCCACCCACCGACTTCTTCAGAGGGGCTAAGAGCTTCCGTGGTGGTGGTTATACGCATTGCCGGAGCCTTACAAGCTTTATCGCTACCTCCGGACAAAACGCCCATTGCTGCCGCGGAAGGCAAGTCCACATTTGTCAAAGTCTTGAAAAATATGATTGGGCTCTGGAAACGCTTTGCAGATATTTCATAGCAGCTTGATGTTTCTTAACCTCAACATGAGTAGTAATCACCCTATTTCTAATGTTGCTCAGGGAGAACTTTTTGCAGCACATTGTGCAATGAGCTCTATTTGGATCATTCGGAACAGGCCGCATCAAACTTGCATTCGTGGATATGCCCAAGTTTGTCCAGTTGAGGTTGAAGGAGCACTTCCTCAACAGCGACATAGTCACTTTCACATATCTCCCCTTCCGGAAAATAACACAATAGAAAGCCCAGAGAGCCCAACCCAAAGCCTCAAACGCACGTGGGAGAGCTCGTAGAGTGCAGGCATCCAGTTGCGTTTACCATGAAGCGCGAAAACACCATATCTGACAAATGAATGGATCGCTTAGCGCGCGCCTCTCAGAGGGTAGATAAATGAACGACGGCTGTTTTTTCTGAGTGAGTGGGGACTCGCGCCGCCTAGTATCGGCTAGAGTAACTGTTTCTCCTTGTACTAGAGCAACCACAGCAACACCACCTAAATAGAGTCACAAACTAGTGAAGCAGAGCTACTGCTCTGCTTCACTAGTAACAGTGAGTAACTCTTTAGCCGTCATACCTTAGCGTTGCTACTCTAAAGTGCAGCTTCTTTAGTGGCTTTAGAGTGTACTAAAAGAACGATGAGCCGCCAGCTTCGCACATGCTCTCGTGTGAAGCGCAGCGCGTAGAAAGTTGGCGTGGCGGCGCTACGGCCATACATGCCCGTCTGCGCCCGTCAGCTTGGGTGGGTCGTGTCGCGCCTAGAGGGTCGCGACGCCGCACTTGACTGCGCTTGTGGCTATGCCTGCCCGTGCCTACCACTTCTAGCATAAGCGGGCAAGCATGGGATAAATTCCCTGACTCGGCAGTCTTTTTGAAAATTTCCCAGACAATTCCCTGACTTTTCCAGGTGTCTTAAAATTCCCCGACAATTCCCGGTTTTCCCGGTCAATAGACACCGCAGCATGTGTGCTGAGTGAGTAGGGTTGATTATTCTGTTCCAAAGGTTCAAAGTTGGTTTGCACGCATTTAGGTTTGTTTGTTTACCCTTTTGTCATTCTATTCATCAATTGTATATATCCCCCCTTTTCCCCGGTAGAAGGGGTTCCCCGTCACTTCTGCTAATCCAGAAGGGGTCTTTGAAACATTGGTGGTTGAAGACTACTGCCCCAATGTATGCTACACAATCCGACATTCTGGCATTGTGAATTTCTTGCACAATTATTTCCAGTCTGCATTCTTTGTTTTGGAGGGACACAAACGGCGTGCAGGTGAAGGACCACCTTATAAATTGAAAAAGAAAAAAACAAAAAAAAAAAAGAATGACACAAAGTGGAGTGTAGCTCAAAGAGTATAATGAAGTGAATGAAACGAAAATAATCCAAATGGTTGCCGAGATACCGGCTCCACAAGCAAAACAGAATGAAAAAAATAGAACTCGAAGAAACGGTCTTAGAAGCAAGATCTCACTTCTTGAGCTGGTACAAGTTATCCTTTTTAGCACTTAAAAATAGTCTTCGGTAAAAAGTGATTGCCAATTACAAAAAAATATGCAAAATATTCGACTTGCTAAAAGACAAATCTTTTTTACATTTACTGCCAGTTGATCTCCACTTAAAGTGATTGCTTTATATGGGGAGCCTCTACATCAAGATGTCGCACGACGTTAGTGTCGCATGATGTCATAGCCTCGCGTGATGTCAGCGTCCCATAATGTCACAAGGCTACGTGACGTCACAGTGTCACAGGATGCGATGTTACAATTTCCCCGCTAAATTTAATGGGGAAATGTCTTTGACAATTCCGATAGAAAGTAACGCTCATTAAAAACCTCCTAAAGTGCAGCCATCGCATCGAATGAAACGTCCGAGCCAGGCGATATTTTTTCCTTTAGCTATCGTACACCCGGTGCAGTCTGCACTTGGTGTTCATTGGCAGACCAAAAATTAGGTCCCTCTCTGGCCTTTCGCAAAAGCGTTCTGAATGCGTACCATACCTAGGTCCACGACGTCGTATGCATGACACAACATCACAGTGTCGCGTGGCATGGAGTTGCGACGCGAGGTTGCAGAGGACCCATAAATGCCACACATATAGAATGCATTTGGGACGGTGTCAGCGTAATGTGATGCCGTGACCTCATCGAGGCTACATCCCAGTGAGGACGCGAGGGTGGTCAGAACTGGCCCTACAAATACTATGCATCTAAAAGGGAGTGGAAATGTTCTAACAAAACCAGCACGAGGTTCAAAAGTCTGGTTCACACGTTGAGAACATGGTGGCACTTTTTGACACGGACGAGAGGGGAGAAAGGGACAACACAGTGCACCAACTTCACCCGTTTATTATGCAGAAAAACACAAGTACAAATGCTCCGCGCCACAACCAAGAAGTGAGTGGGCAACGGGATGGCCGTTTGTCGATGCACTGTCACGACTGTGGGTGCAGTTTCAAGTCATCAGTAGACACAGGGATGGGCAGTATTTCAAATACAAGTATTTAAATACGTATTTCAAATACTTTGTGTATTTTGCATTCGTATTTAATTACAAATTGGGTAATGTATATGACGTGTGTATTTAAATACTAAAACGTGGGTATTTCAAATACAATTGTAATTAAATACAATTTTGTGGGCGAAAATACATCCCTCAAATTTATTGTCACTGTCCAGAGCAGGAAGAAAATTACGTTCTGCACCGAATGTAGCGTCTCTCAATCAAGCACAAGCGTTTAGTGACTTTGTGATTACGGTGCTAGTCCAGGGCAAGAGTAGTGACGAAATCGACGTTCACAGGCAGACTGGCTAAACAAGTGCCTGTGACAACTTGTGATGCTTTCCAGCCTGATTTCCATCCATATTTTTGCCTGGAACATTCTAAATGCGCGGGTCGTCCAGATTTTCGTAACTGGTGCGAGTTGCAACAATAAAAAATTATAACTAGTGCTGCGCGTCTTGGTCGTCTCGGCTCTTTGTTGGTCTATACCAAAATGTAATTGACAAAAAAAAAGCTACTTGAAGCTCTGTACTTTTTTTACCTATTACGTCCAAGCTGATTACATTTTTTTTGTGATTATATTTCTATTACGTTACTAGAGCCTCGCGCACTAACTCCCGAGTGTGCGATGCAAAATTAAAATTAGATAGCCAGAAACCCGTTGCAGGTGCCCTGAAGTCGCTGATCAAATTTTGAGGAATGTATTTGGAAAAGTATTTGGACGAGACCAAATACATTTGGTTGTATTTGTATCTTGTACTTAAATGCTTTTTTGGAAATGTAATTAGATTCGTAATTAAATACATTTTTGATGAAGTATTTTGTATTTGTATTTCGATACATATTTGCATGTATTTTGCCCATCCCTGAGTAGACAGAAGGATAAAACGGGAAATCATAGAGGCAGACCTGATAAAAAGTTCCGAGACCGGTTTGTCAGCGTGGCTTCGACTGATCTGGCGGACAAAGAGACCCAGTTCTTCTGAACAGAGATAGGGCAGGGTATTGGTTGAGTGAAGCAATGACGAGGAGCATTTATACCCGTGTATTTCAGCATAATAAACAATTGAAGTTAGCGCACCGTGTCGTCCTGTTTTCCCATCTCGTCTGTGTCAAAAAGCGCTACTACTATGATCTCAAAGTTTCAGCACCAACTCGCTTAATGAGCAGCGTCGGTTTGCACGTTTGCGTTTAACTGAGGTTGAGCGTGCTTACTTGCAACCGCTCACAATAAGAGACTGCCAGCATCTTTCAGGCGGCCCTGAAACACTTCCCATTTATGTGGTTTTGCAGAATTTGCGAGATCAGAAGTATTTTAAGCACACTATGATTGAATTATGCGTGAAAAATGATATATAGCTAGATGGGTCCCCCTCTGCCCACATCTTCTCTCGTCCTAGTGGTTATGAGGGATCCCACCGCACTCGAGAACACTCAACCACAAACATGTGAACCAGCCTTTAGCTGTAGGCACTGCGATGCATGCCACGACGCCAAACAAAAGGGCTGGAGTGCTAGCCATTGGAGAACGTCAAACAAAAGGAGAGAGCAACGAAGACACGATCAGTTGCCGACATTTTCTCTATGGTCTTGCTCGCTACGGTTCCAAGTATGAGAGGGAAGAAGAAAAAAGCTTCTAGGCTGGGAAGTGCGAGCACCGAACCGACACTACCAGCACACTGGTTGGAGTCGTTGTGCACGCTACGAGGCCAAATACCCGGAGGCAGTGTCGGCTGTGGAAGAATGTCGGACGCTGCGAGCGATGAAGCGTGATGAAATAAACATGGAGAGAGTGTCAGTCATGGGAGAAAGACAGCGAAGAGAGGGTGTTAGATACATCCTCCTTTATTGACACTCTACCCCGACTTTGCCCGCTACGATCAAGAAGATCTGTGGACGGTTCCCATAGAAAGCCATCATTTCATCAGAGGCTGGGAAATGCACGAATCGAACTACCGCAAAAAGCACGCTTGTAGGCGCTGTTGCGTGTGCTACGAAACCAAGCCGTTGGACGGGGTTTTGCAACGGGACGTGGAGTAGAGAGTGACAGCAACCAGACATGGCGACACGGAGAGTGTCAGCCATGAAAGTGTTAGCAAGATAACCACACCCTGTTGCTGACACTTTCTCCATGACCCAGCATGCTACAGTCAGGAAGGTGCGTAGAGGCCTGCTCCCACAGAAAGGGCTCAAAAAGAGGTAAAAAGATGTGCGTGCAAGGAGCGTACCTGTAGGCGCTGTCATGCGCGTTGGGGTCTCTGCGCCCAGAGGCCTTCCTCCTGAGCACCACGGGAAAGGCGTCGGCAGTTGGCGCCACGCTCGCCTGCCTGCCACTGCCCAGCCAGCCCAGGTGGCAGCTCTGGCTGCGCACCACCTCGTAGCTGGCTCGCTTGGCCGGCGACCGGTCGAAGCTCAGCCGAGCCAGGGCCGACGTCGGAGACAGGTCGGCGGCTGCCACGCCGCTCGGGCTGCGTGGGATCCCCAGCGTCACCAGGCTCTCCGGCAGGCTGCACGATAGATGCCACGGGGACACTTCAGCACCTCCCTCCCAACTTGCAGCCAAGAACGGGGCAGGACCGGCATTGCCAGACGGGAAAGTGCTTGCAACACCAAACTCTCGTTGAAATTTCACCAGAAAATAATATTTACGTAAAAAACACCAAAAAAAGATTGAGCATTCGTATTCAGAACACACATTTCAGGTGCCATGAAAGCTCGAGGGATTTCACGCCAGTGTAGTGATTAAGCTTTCCTTGTGGTTCCGAAGGACCCCCCAGGCCAATATCGCGAGTCTTTCTTTCGTGGCAAAAACAATGCATATGACAAGCAGCACAACACAAACTCGAGCTTGTAGCGGGAAGGAGGGAATCGACAGCGGCTCCCCACAGCTTTCGAGAAGCGGCTCGCCGGTAGCGACTCGCCGATCCCCCGCAGTGTGAACGTTGGTCGCTTGTCGCACACTCCTAGTCAATCGTGCGACGGTTGCGAGCCGCAAGTGTGAATGCGCCTTAAATCCCATTCCCATAGGGCATTTATTAACTCGAAATAAGGAAAGAAATTTGACCGTCAACCAGATCTAGCAAAACATTCCTGGGAAAAAAAATAAATGCAAAAGAAGGGAAACTTCAGGTTTGTTGCTGGCACGTCATGCAATCCTAGTTTCATTTTTATGGAAAAACAACTCCAGACTCCAGAATACCAGATGGCGCTTGCCGTTTCCTGGCGTTTTGCTTGTGTCGCCTGTGACAGATGGCACTGATGGAATTCACCGGTCGCTTGGTTTCGATTTGATTATGTTCGGTGAGGGTCTGCCCTCCCGTTAGGCCTAACGACGAGCAGAGGGCATCGCTGAAGTGTGCCTCACCAAGACAGAATGGCAGACAGGGCTTCGGTCATTGCACCTCCAACGTAAGCTTTCTACCTTCCACTTCCTTGCCTCGTGATCTTTGAGCAAGTGAGCACAACTGACGCATTAGGGAATACAATGCGTGCACGCCGGATGCTAGGTACGAGAAAGAGACAGAGTTACCGTGCACTTGTCTGATCAGTGACTTTTGCATCGCCGTGAACATAACACCGAAGAGAAAAGAGTTCACCCTCGAAGAAAACATTGAAATTATTTGTGCTAGGATCGAAAAGGGCACTGTTTTTGCGTCTCTGGTGGGGAATGTAGACTTCAATGTGAGCGACAGCTTTCTCTGACAGGGGCATGTATGGCGAGGTCAAAGAAACAACCTCAATTTGTTTCCTCGAGGATTTTAAGGTTTCTTTCACAAAGTAGCAGTGTGGGTCGCCTTCGTAGGCTAAATTCCTACGTGTGCAAATTGCATTTTCGGCATGTTACCCACTGCGGGAAAGCGATACCGCGATAGCTCTCTGGATGCCGTTACATTAAATCTAGGTTTATCGAATTTAATGTCCCAAAAATGCCATTTCCGATATAACCAAGTAATTCGCAGCTCCTCTCAGCTTCATATAGATCAAACTTTAACTGTAATTAATGCAAAAAAAAAAAAAAGAAGAAAAAAAAAGTAGAACGTGTCTGTTTAGATAAAATAGAGAATTATTATGTGCACTCCCAGCCAGAATGTTTTTAGGCAAACTATTTTTCTGACCTCTTCAATCTGTGGCTCTACAGTGCTACTAGAATGGTGGCTTATGAAGGGAAGGCTACTTTAATGCGGCACCGGTAGTGTTTTCGGTTGCTTGGCACTTTTTATTCTTTTTTTTATTTTTGATTCATTAATACCATACACCCAATTAGCCCCATTATAGGAGTGGAGCATGAGTAAGAACAAACCTAAACCATAAAGCACAACCACACTGGCTCACATCATGCCACACACAGAAACAACAAAGGTAGGAAATGTCATTATAACAGGTACATGAACGCAGGAACCAAATATTTAATACGATTCCATTAGACATTTTTTAAAGGATTCTATCGTATCACAATTTGCAACATTTCTAGGAAGCCTGTTCCAAGTTTCTAATGTTCTAAAAAAAAAAGAAAAGAGTATCTGTAGGCATTCTTAATAACTCACGAAATTCGAAAAGCCTTCTTGCACACAGCCCTTAGAGTTACATTGACAGACTTGAGTGAAAGTACAAACAGAAAGTCTAGCCTGGCTAATTTGCGACCTATACACAGGCGAGGGGGCTACATCTGTTCAAGCGCAGATGTAACCGAGTCCAATTGACTCTGGCGAGATATAGAGAACTAAGGGGCAACGGCAATAGAGAGAGGGCGACGGTACGGCGTGTGCTCGGGGATCACGCGGGTTTTTGTGTACGGATGTCGCCAGAAGGGGGCACTAACAGCTGCTGCCACAGAATGCGTCTCTAAGTGAAAGCACTAGAAGCAAAAGAAGGAAATTGGAGGGAAGTTGAATGAGTGTGTACTACAGGGTGTTTTTTCTAAGCTTTACAGATTTGTATAAAAAAAGCTACGAAAGCTACATTCATGCGGTTTGTGCAGGTGAGTTACACAGCCAGGGGGAGATAGTTTATGAGGTCAGTCGTAACAATCAGTCGGTTAATTAAGTATAATTTGTTAATTAACTTTTTAATTAGTGAAAATAGTCATATGGTTCTTATTAGAAACTTGCCGAGCGTCATCCAATACCCCTATATCGGTCATTTCTAGCATGTGAGAAGCGCAGTAGTGCGCTAAACTTACCACTCGTGGAGCAGGTACAAGGCTGGGGCTCTCATAAGAAACGCAAAAATTGTGCAGGCGCCTTACCGCCACCGCTAACCTTGTACCTGCCCCACGAGTGGTAACTTTAGTGCACTAGTACGCTTCTCACGCGCTCAGTCTTTCTGAAAACAACTGATTTAGTGGTTTTCGATAATGCGCCTCAGCAAGTTTCTAACTGGAACCACATGTCTATTTCCATTAATAAAAATAGTTAATGAACAAAGTTTACTTAATTAGCCCCCTATTCTATGTGCCCCTGGCTGTATAACTCACCTGCACAAACTGCATAAGTGTAGCTTTCACAATTTTTTAAAACAAGCCTGTAAAGCTTAAAAAAAAAAAACATCCTGCATAATGGGCGACAGGTTAAGAACCAAGTAGGTGCCTCGAGCTATCTGCCTTCGACAAGACTATCCCAGTCCAAGCCCAGCGGAAGGCATGCCGGAGTGCCGGGTTCTATGGGGTGGTTGCCGTCCTCCGTCCCAAACCCACCCGAGGATGGTGTCGGGCGGGTAGAGCCTCTTGGGGCACCCGGAAGAAGGCGACGCCGGGCAGGGGGGCGCACAGGGCCCCAGCACCCTCTCCCGCCGCAGCTGCTTCTCCCACTCCAGCAGTTGGCCCAGGAAGTTGAAGTTGGGCGAGATGCTGGGACGCTTGGCCTTCACGTACCTGCGCGGCCAAGGCAGTCTCTTCACTCATCCTTCTCTTTCCTAATTCAACATTCAGTGCCATCTGGAAGTTTAATTAGCAACTGAAATGTTGCCTTCACATACCTGCACAGGCACGCAAACACATAGGGGATTTAGATGAACCCCTATATGTTTGATCTAGCAGCAGTCTGTTCGATCAATCCTTCTCTTTTCTAATACACCTTTTTCAAAAATGAATACCGTCGGGGGATCCACACCGCAGCATAGGTTTCGCTGTACTACTAATGGCGGTCATAAAACGTCATTGGGCTCCGCCGACGAGAGAGACACTATATAAGCTACACTTCAGAGTAATGGCACTCGAGCCATCTCGTTGCTTAACAGACACTTTTTTGTTGTTGTTGTATTTTTTCACTAATAGTTAGGCAATGTAAAGAAATGGTCTCGTAATAACTGATGATGATACACTTTATGAAACACGCAAAGTAAAAAAAACTTTCTACGCAATGACAAAATGGGTAACAACAAACTGGACTTCCTTGATGATATGCTGGCTGTGCAATTATAATTAGACAGAATGAAACAAACGGCATTATTTTGAATTAGTGGTTCAAGAGCTTTACACAGAACGGCATGGTTAGTACCCTAAGTGGAGGCTGCATATTCTAATTTAGACTATACAAGAGCGTTATAAAGAAGAAGTTTTAAGTTGACTGGGACCGTTCTGAAGTTACATCGTAGGTATCCTAACATGCGGCCAACATTGGCGATTGTTATATAGATATGAGGTTTCCAGGTTAAAGTTGACGAACACCTAGATAATGGTACGAGTTTACGGATTCAAGTTGAATGCCGGTCAGTGTATGTGCTCAAGGGCGCGCGCCTTGCCGGGAAACCCGCGTTAGTTTGCATTTTTTAGGGTTTAGTTTCATATGCCATTTTTTGCACCAAAGAGTAAATTAAATCAGCCTGCAAGAGGCATTCATCGTCATCATCGTGAACTTCTCGATAAATCACACAATCATCTGCATATTAATGCATGAAGAAAGAAAGAACACAACTTGGTAAATCATTACTAAATATTAGATAAAGAAGCGGGCCTAAAACCAAACCTTGCGGCATGCCCGATACCACATCAGTCAGAGAAGAATTATTGCCATTTAGAGTTACATATTGAGAGTGGTTGGTAAGAAAGCGTTCCAGCCAGTTTAACAAATAAGGATCTAGGTTTAATGACGAAAAATTGAGAAAAATACAGTCAGCCTGATAGATTTGTCCAGTACATATAGCATGCAAAGAATGGGTGAAATGAAGCAGCTGCATTTCACAAGAAAATGAGCGACGCTGGGCATGGGCGAAAAAAGAATTTTATTCTAGGTAAATTAAAAATATGAAAGTACAGTATGTGCTCCACGTTTTTGCAGGGAATACTCAGTCCTTTTCCACAGCTGACCCCAGGAAACCATCGGATAATCCTAGCCACCGATTATCTAACACAATACGCCGAGACAAGCCCTTCCATCAGGAAATGCAGTGGAAGTTGCTGAGTTGTTTGTTCAATCCATCGCCCTCGGGCACGGTGCCCCCGAAGTATTGATCACAGACCGAGAGTCGTCGTTTCTGGCACGGCTAACTCGAGAGATCCTCCGGCTCAGCCACACCAGCCATCGTCGAACGACGGCGTACCATCTGCAGGCGAACGGCTGACGGAACGACAAAACAAGACCATCGCTGGCATGATCACCACGTACGTCGACGTGAAGCGCAAAACGTGGGACGAGGTCTTACCCTACGTCACGCTTGCCTACAACACTGCGATTCAAGAGGCCACTGGAGAAACACCTTTCCAGCTGGTACATGGTTGGAAAGTAACGACCATGCTGGACGCGATGCTGCCTCACGAACCAGCTGACTATGGGAGCAACAATGTTCAGGTGGTTGCTCGACAGGTCTAAGAAGTTTGCCAGCTCACCCGACTCTAGATTCAAGAACAGCAATGTGTCGACACTGGCCACTATAACTTTCGTCATCGGTACATTCCCTTCCAGCCTGAAGACAGGGTGTGAGTGTAGACACGCATTTGTCGCCATGGCTTCGACAAGGAACTGTTGAAACAGTACTTCGGACCATACAAGGTATTTCGTCGCCTCAAGGAGCTCGACTGTGAAGTCGTGCTTGACGTAATCCACAAATCATCCCGACGCCGATTACGACACGAGGTGGTTCACGTCGTTCGGCTCAAGCCGTTCTACACTCGATAGGACTGCGGACTTTTCGTGCTCCAGAGGACTTTTTAGATTATCCGTTCTTTAGTTTTGTTTTGTGCTGCATCAGAGCGATGCACTTTAAAGGGGGGAGTAATGCCGCGTGTGCAGCTAGCTAAGTAGGCAGTGCGCTTGGCTCCCATGTAGATGGCCGGGGTTCAAATTCCACCACCGCTTGTCGCTTTTTCTTTCTTTATGTCAGTAAAAGATTCGAGAAGGTTGGAGAACTGTCTAGCTTGTTCATGTTCAGAATGTATAGTTCAACAAGGATTGAGGCAGAATGTTCTAGGCTCTTAGGGAAGGCTCGAAAGAAGCCGCACCACGCCGTACGGAGTGAGTCTCACCCCTGCGCTCGATCCTGCTGTTACGACGCCATCGACGCCTGTGACGCTAGCCTTTTTCTATTTTGTTTTGGGCACAAGTTCACCCTAATAAACGTCTAGTTTCCTCCAGTCATTCGCTGCCTCATCAATTGTCATTCGTCACAATATTTAAAAAAATATGGAGTTCTGTTTTCTATCTTTTTACCAAAGATATACTATAATGTGAAAATTACAAGCAGCAAATTCTTTCGAAGTTAAAATCTTTGCACTTTTAACCCCAAAACAATTATTTACATTTGGCAGTCTTAGATCAAAAATTTATTTTTTAAAATTTCTTTTGCACGTGCAGGCTGGGTTGCACAGGTATCCACCACTGGTCATCATTTTTAAAAATAGCCGGGGGCGAGCAAGGGTACAGACGAGCTACACTCATTTTAAACAGTTTGGGGACAGGTCTAAGTGGATCAGCGAGGCTCACCCAAAATGATTAAGGGGTTGAACCACTGATCTCTATTAGCCCCGAGAAGTTCACGTGGCGCCCCCTTACAGCAAACCGGGGTGACGTCACGGCAAGGAGAGAAATTTTTCCCTGCTCGCCCTGTGGAGGCTGTGACGACGCTAGCTGTCGGCACGCTCATTTTTATTTAATATTTTCTTGGCGCGTTTTTCGTGGGAAGTGTAAATTTTTATATGTGCCTTTATTGAGGTATGGGCCTGTAGCTACAGGCGTAACTTCAACCAACATATTAAGCATTGTTGACAGGGCAGGCAACGCATGAATCGCAGCTGGTATATGGAAATAAAGAAATATGGCCACAATTGCAGGAGCATCACTATGGATTTGTATCTCACACAATAAATGCTGCTGATGGTCTGAATGAATTGGCAGGTTATGTATACTTTATTTTTTTGCATCTCTGTTTTTAAACAAGATCGCCGAAGCAGAAAAGCTGCATGCTGCACGAGCAACATGCTAAATACAGTCTGGGCCATGGGGAGAGAATCGTAAGTAAGACAGCCCAAGTGCAGGGGCAAAGTAAAAAAAACAAAAAAAAACAAAAACAAGGAACATTTATTATATACATTGCTCGCATTTGACCTCTGCTGGATTCGGATAGTATTTCAATGGACTACACGGGTGGTATCTGTGGACTTGTTTATATCAAACCTCAAGTAATGTATAACAAACGTAAGCGAAGGTGTCCAGCTCGTTTTTAGTCCCTTAAGCCCTAAAATTGAGATTTTACTTAAATCGAATTGTCGTGAATCTAAAATACCAAAAGCTTTCCTCACGCAGACTGTCGCCCTTCACAGGTTCCACATTTTCTGCTACTAGTGCTGCATCTACCACTGGACAGACGTTTGAATCCTTGCTTTTACTCCTGTTTTCCTCTGTTGTCAGAGAGTCCAGCTGTAGGGAGTTTGTAGGAATTGGAAATGACAATTCAGACTAAACGGTGTATTTTCCGAATACCCAAGGCTGGAATAAAAATGTCAGGAAAAAGTATAAACATTCCAAATTAAGGCACTATTGCCTTATTTTGGGTAGTTCAATACATATTATACAGGTAACTGGGGGCAATTCGGCCGTTTTTGCTGCTACCATACAAACTAATTTCCAGTAATTGTGCATCTTCTAAGAAATATGCCTGCATATGTGTATAAACCAAATAATTAATTCACGAAGAAGCTTCATTTATGTAAAACAACCCTGTTCCATGAGCACTTCAAAGATAATCAGACACAGGGCCTTTAAAACATCTGCGAACCAGCGCATGGAAAGGGCAGCCCAAAGTCAGGGTCGCGAGGTAATTTGCCGACCACCCAAAGGCCCACGATATAAATTTCACTTCAAATGCCTCGAAAGCGGGATGTAATATCGTCCTAAATCATGAACATGCAAAGAAAAGAATTCCAGCATCTGAAATACTTGCGCCACCGCTTCACCGATCCCTCGCAAAATTGCCTTGTGTCGTGTGGACAGACTGGGAGGTTCATCGGCGGAATTGCTTCCGCTGATAGCTTTCGGGATTTCTAACCCTATTTTAAAGTTAAAAGGGACAAGCAGGCTTATAAAAAGTACGGAACCACGTCAATATCGGCCTAACTCAACGTCTTGCACACCGGGTAAAAGAAGTCCAACTCCTCGAAGAGCTTGCGGCACACAACATCAAACCAGGAAACCGGTGCTGGGAAGCGAGCCGATGCGAGATCGCGGAGCGGAGTCAGCGGAGTCATCCCCCTGACGTCACGGTACACCTCACCCAATCAGGGCGCGGCGACCGCAGCGACGCTTCTGTTCGCTCTCAAGGCTAATTGCAGTAGGCTGGATCGCGGATCGGGAGCCCGTCGGTGTCGCCACCGGCGGCCATTGCTTGACACCAGGCAATACACGCAAGTTTATGGGAGAAACGCACAAAAGTAAAAATATTGAAGCATGTATGCTGTGCTCAGACGTGAGTAATTTATGGTGGGCTGCAAGCCTCATGTCGGGTGTTTGGAGATCGAATGGGTATTTGTCAAACGTTCGAATGCCGATTAAAAAAATCAAACGTACCAGAGCACCTACGGCTGAGCTGGCAAGCTTGATCTCGTAGTAGAGTAAGCAAAGGAACTTGTGGTCAATAAGACCGTCCTCGGGGAAGCCCAGACGTTGATGAATGACAAAGAAGTTCCATCTCGACAACGGCCTTCCGGGAGTGAGCGAATTCCACGTAGCAAAGCCTTCGAGCTTGTCGTCTGCTAAACCCAACTCAACAAAACCACCACCAACTTCCAGTAACTCTAGGTAACTCTCGCCTCATTGAGCTGCAGTACGGCGGAGTCACTCTCGAACACAAAATATTTATTTATAAGAACGGCGAGGTCTGTCAGTTTTAATCCTAGTGCGCAAGCTACTCGACGGGCTTATCGAAAAGCATCCATAAAGTTTCAGTGCCGCAAACAGCTTGGAAACGGGGGAAACGGCACTTTTTCTCATTCTTCCCATAGAGTCCTATGCATTGACTAGTGTCAATCAATGGCCGCCGGTGGCGACACTCGGCCCCAGCTGCCGAGGCTGCTGTCCAGCCTATTACAATAGAGATCAGCGGGTTGAACTGTCACACTGTTCTTGCTTCCTAGCAACATTTTAACAAATTTGGCAACTTTTTTTGCAAACTAAAAAAAAAATTTTTGTAAAACGTTTAGTTGGTAGTTAAAATATAAAAACCAAAACCATGAAAAACCTAAACAAAATTTATCTCATAAACATAAAGGTCCCTTCACACCCTTGCATTTCATTACGACCGACTCAGACAAGACCGGTTTTTAAGGCTCTTACGACGGCTTATGGCCGGCTGCGCAGCAATGCAGCTGGTCATAAGCCGTCACAAAGGCTTCAAAGCTTAAAAACCGATCTTGTCTCAGTTTGTCATACCTAAACACAAGTGTGTGAATGGGCCTTAACTCGAACCGTAACTGAACCATTATTATTTTCAGTTTGGGTCCCTGGTGATATCTATTTCTTTTTACAAACTAAGTTATGTGTAGGCATAAGAGCTAGCACCGTGCTGAAAACAAGACCACTGCTAAAAGCAACCTTGAAATACCTTCGGTACGGTAGACAAAAAATGAAAGGCATTACGGCGGCCCCCAGTGCTTTTAAAAGTCAACAACTATCCAAAAATCAAAATTGTGATTTGCTATTCGCTTCGAGATCGAACCGTGTCGCCACCGTACGGCCGAAATTGGAAACGTGCGAAAGCGGGGACGCCGCCGTGCGTCGTCTGCTACGGGCGCACGCTCAGAAGCATGGATCTCGACGACGCAAGCCCGTTTCCGGCTGAGCTTGACATTCCTTATTAAATGCTTTATGTTTTTGTTGCCGTTTCTTCTTACTAAAGGTTGTGTTGTATCGTTTCCCGTGCGTAGAAATTCAGCAAAGCGATTATTACTAAGTCGGAAGCTTCCATAATCTTTGTGTGTTGGTTTGTATACAATCGCCGGTCCCACATATTTTTGTTATCTCGCACAAACCGTGGCTTTCATAAAGCATTGAATGTTGAGTGGGTCTGTGGTTTGATTAGAAAAGTAACCCGACTGTTCGCTATCCTTTAATAGACTAACCAATCAATAAATTCGTATGTTGATTTTTTGCCGGTCATATTGCGTGAAAGACATTAAAACTACACATTTTTTACTGGTTTTGCTATGTCATAAATGGCATACTGCATTCCCATTCCAAACTTCACGTTGAGTCCTACATAAATATGTACACGGGAAGCCTTTTAAAATGAATTTTTTTAAAGTTATTATTTAAACAATATAATCACCCTCGGCGAAATGACAAGCACGCTGAAGTGGTTTACCGTGCAAGCCTGTGTCACAAAAGAAATAGAGACGTCAAAAATATTAATGCAGACATTTTTTACTCCTTGTTGACTTTCTCCAGCACAAGACTCCAATTAACTGGAAAAAAATGCAATTAAAGCATTACTTGAATAATCTGAAAGTTAATCGATGAACTGTCCAGTCCCGATGTACGTTAGGTGAGGGCGGAGGGTGATCGGAAAGTCTCGTGAAGGTCGCTAGCCCTCATCAGTAAAAGAGTATCACTGCGGTTGATGCTGTCTGTGCTGTGGTGCGCGTCGTGTGTTTGGGTTGCAAAGTCTACCGTGTTTGAATACAAGATTATTTAGCCAGTAATTCATAGTATTAGCCTTTCGACATCTGCGGCGCTCACCAAGAAAACTGAAGCGGGTGAACCCACACTACCGAGAAAAGCATTTAATAACAGGAACATTGCTGCGTTGCTCGGTTACACTCTTTTATTACAGTCCCGGCAGATATATTAGAACAGTTTGTTTCACTTGTTTCAGTTGTCCTGCCAACTGTGCAGTTTGCAGATCTTAAAGAGACACTCTCTCCTCATCGCAACGCATTCGATTTTTCAGACTCCAAAAAACTTGCCCGCACTATGGCACAGTAAAAGGGCAGAGGAACTTAATAGCATGGTAATTTCCAATACAGCGCCAACTTATCTTCATTCTAAATATTTATATTACTGCAAGAGCTAGAAGTTAAAAAAACAAAGCACAGAGGCTGCGAGTTCACAGCCCACAATACCAGTATTATGTTATCTGGGTTGGAATTTATTATTTTTTTTTTAATTCCCACGTTGATGAACCGATACATCCATTTTAAAAGAAACAAATATTTAACATAAATATTCCAGTTCAGCCAGAGACAGGCATCAGTCGTGGTGATCCATGCTCTCCAACGTCTGCATAGAGCAGACGACGCACACACAGAAGCGATTATACAAATTTAGGCCGCACGGTGGCAACACGATTTGATCTTCACTGAAGCACCGAACAGTACCGCATCCTTTTCCGATAGAATTGTTTTCCCACCGATAGTATGCGACAAAATAAACGCAAGAATCTACGCCGTCTCGCGCGCAAACGTGGAGAGCCTATGGGGCGGCCGTTCTCCTATCCCCGCTTTGATGATGATGATAGCGCGACCGTAGCGCCACCTCTAGGTCGATCTCGAGGCCAATACATAGGTATCATAGAATGAATTTTTAGATGGAAAAAATTGGGATTTTACTAGTCGCATATTATTTAATGTGCCAAAATAAAAGTAGTATACACGTGTGTAGTATTTGTTTCCCCGCATCCCTACCGAGCCCAGTCACGTGATTTCAAAATCCCTCTCCTAGGTACTGCGGCTAACTTTAACCGCAGTTAGCGCTTCGAGCAAACGGGCCCAGGTGTCGAACAAATAAAAATCTTCTACAGCTCCGCACGTGGTGCGATGGCAGCCAAATTGGAAGGCCATAGATGGGCATACATGGGCAGATTACAACTCAATCACTTGAGTGAGCTTCAAGGGACCCAAAGAAATAGTTCACTTAACTGAAAGTTCACTAAACTGAACATATGCACTAGACTAGAACATGGAACAGCATACATCGCGTCAAAAGTGTGAAATGCAATTTATGGAGTCATACAAAGTGCATAACAGTTACGTTGCAGCCTTTCTCATTCAAACAAAAATTTATTTGCATTGGCGCTTACAAAGCTGGGGCAGCTGTATTTACGAGCTTGCCGATATTTTAGAATCGTAATTAATAATAATAAAAATAATAATAATGTTTTATTCTGTTTATAAAGAAAACCGGATAACAGAGAAAAGGCTTTTACCCATACTATAAAGGCTCGCTGTACCCTAAAATAGTAAAACGAGGCAGTGTCAAGTGAGCCATGCAACTCACACACTATTACTTCATTTTCCACCAACATCGCTAACGCATTAATCGATATTAAAACAAAGCGACCAGGGGCGCTACTGCGCAATGCCGGAGCAAGCGGGGCAGCAGACGAACTCGCCGAGCCATCCTTGCGCCGAGCGCCCGCCAGGCCTAGCGAGCCGCAGCGGCCGGCAGCGGCGCCAGCGTCGCCCGCGTCGCAGCTTGCATTGTCCACCGAGGCCGCAAGCCGCGCGAAGCCGAAGCCGGAAACTGCGGCGACGACGACCAAAATGGCGACTCGTATCTCGCGCACGGGCTCGGCCGGCTGGCCCAAAAGCGCTCCGCAGCGGCCGTACTCGGGCAAGTACATGGGTTCGGCCTCGACGAACGTGCTGAGCGTCACGCTCAACCGCACCGTCAACCTGTACCCGCTGACCAACTACACGTTCGGCACCAAGGAGGCGCAGTACGAGCGCGACAGCTCGGTGCCCGCCCGCTTCCAGCGGATGCGCGAGGAGTTCGAGAAGATGGGCATGCGGCGATCCGTCGAGGGCGTGCTGCTCGTGCACGAGCACGGCCTGCCACACGTGCTCCTGCTCCAGCTGGGCACCACCTTCTTCAAGCTGCCCGGCGGCGAGCTGAACCCGGGCGAGGACGAGGCCGAGGGCCTCAAGCGGCTCATGACCGAGGTGCTCGGCAGGCAGGACGGCGTCAAGCAGGACTGGCTCATCGAGGACACCGTGGGCAACTGGTGGCGGCCAAACTTCGAGCCCCCGCAGTACCCGTACGTGCCGCCGCACATCACGGCGCCCAAGGAACACAAGATGCTGCACCTGGTCCAGCTCCCCGAGAAGGCCCTCTTCGCCGTGCCCAAGAACTACAAGCTGGTGGCCGCGCCGCTCTTCGAGCTCTACGACAACGCTCAAGGGTACGGACCCATCATCTCCAGTCTGCCGCAGGCGCTGAGCAGATTCAACTTCATCTACCTGTGAACGCCGCCAAAGCCCGTCAACGCGTCCCTTTGAAGAAATTAAAGAATCCATCCCGAACTTCGGACGATTGTGCATGCTTGCGACAAAGTTCTCTGGTTCTAACGTAAATAGCATCCAGTTGGCTTCTTGGAGGTCGGATTGGTGCTCGACGAACGTCGAACATAAGCTAGCGAAGAGGCGTTGTAACTTCGGAAGAAGACGGGTTCTGGGCAGCCTGTTATTTTGGGGCGGTTTCAGATGTTTGTTTTTCGAAATGTTTCAGTTTATATTTTGTGTTTTTGTGCCGTAGTACTGCTCAGGAATGAAATTGCCTCACTGAAACGTGCCCTTCAACTTACTGATTTGTAACAACCAAAACAATCAGAAAAAAAAAAAAAAATTGCATTTGCCGTTAAAAAAACAAGACGAGAATTTACCAAACAAGGATCAAATATGCCCTCCTTCAAACCGATATTGAGACTTTGTGTGTTGTGTTGTCCTTCGTATTTTCCCCAGTCTTGGGGGTTTGTCTTAAATTACTGCATTTTCCTGTATATAACCCCCACTTTTCGGAAGTTTCTAAGTAAAAACTAGAGTATAAGACGCACCGCCAAAAATTGTGAAAAAAAAGTGTGTCTTATGTATGAGACTCATCGTACAAGACGCACCCACCACTTTTCTCAAGTCTTTAAGTAAAAATTTGTATATAAGACGCACAGCCGAAAATTTTGGTAAAAAAAGTGTGTCTTACACACTGGAAAATACGGTATGTTAAATCTTTGCCACATCGTTTCTGCCCTAACTTTTTGTTCAATATCAACATTTCTGTCATAAATTCCTCGTGTGGAGTTTTAAATTCTGCCTACTTCTTTTGGACGTGCATTCCAGCTGCATCAGTTTTATATCCTAGCAGAAGAAACTTGTGTGAAACCATATTTGCAAAGAGTTTTGCCTCTGGCAGTGGTTCTACTGGTTTACATAACGTGTTTTCCACTGTTTGTATATTTAGCTTGCCCTGCTCCATAAACACTTCATCCTTGAAATTTCACTAGGACAAAACTAAATGTCTGCAAAATTTTGTGACCCTGCCTTCAGCTGCAAATTTCCGAGACCTAATTCACGCATGCTTTCTCACTCAAAGGCGTGTGGGCAAAGCACCACACAGCACCAACAAGAGATCTCCAGTTGTTCTTAAGTTTTTCTCGCAAATAAAGAGCTATCATCAAAATTACTATTGTGGCGGAATGCGCTCATTTAAAGGGCAACTTGCATAACAAAATTTGGGCTTTGTCAATGTTTAAACAAACTGCTAAAATGCACAAACATCACATTTGCCCCGACAGTGTCGTGCAGTCTACATCGTCACTTTTGCCATTGCTGCACACAGGTTGTTGGACGGCAGCAAACGGGCCAATAAACACATGTCTTGTCAAATCTGCCTCATAAATTTTCTTTACTTGATCTAGCAAAGGCTACTTGGAGGCTCTAGCAGCATTTGCATCAAGGCTGAGCAGTATCACGATAGTAGTACCTTAAAGGTACCTTTCGGTATCCGTATTTCTGTATCAAAATACATTTAAAAAATGTACTTGTAACTCGGTACTAAAATACATTTACAGTGTATCGCTTCTATCGCGATACTCTAGCGGGCTTAGGTGTCTCGTCACATTTGTTGTCGAAAATTAACTGTTGGGCTTCTACGATAAACTGAGCCCCCTTGGGGTGCAAGAGGTCCCAAATTTTATACTAGCATAAACCTGCCACTTTACTCCCTTGGGAGCTGCCGTCCTGATGCAATAGGGGTTTCGGTACTACTGAATACTGATACGAAAGCCCAATATATCGCCACCACTCTTCAAAAGCAGCCTTACAAAGTACAGGGAGTTCCCGAGAAAAGAGAACAGTGTTTTCCGGGCTGGATAGATAAACCTCGCATTGCAGAAAGCTCAAACTCCAGCAAACTGACACTAGTGGTTGGGATACAGTGGCAATCAGTTCATCGAATGATGTTTCATCGACAGATCGTGTTATCGACATGCAATGTTTCATCGACAAATCGTTTCACTGAGAGCTCAGATTAGCTTTTTTTTCTGTAATGAGCTTCATAAGACTATCGCCGCAAAGCAGCATGTACGGGTCGGCCAGGTAGACCAACATTTTTGTAATGAGCCGTCGCAGGTGGTCGCTGCGAAGCAGCATGAAAGGAGGCGGGGAGCGGAGTTAACATGCACCCCAGTGATACACGCATGACGAAATATCCCTACAATGTGCAATTCGCGTAACGAGTGTCAATGAGACGTTTGCGTTGACAAAACCTGTGTTCATGAAAAGTTGTCCACGAAACGTAATTCCACGAAACGATAGGGCCCCGTCGGGATAGGACACGAAAGTTTGAGAACAGGACATTACCTGGACCAAAAGACAATTGAGAAGAAGCTGAGCTAGTTGATTATACATTGGGAAGAACCAGCCGACCATACAATTATCTTCTCTTTTTCTATCTCCTCTCATTTGTATGAATGTTTGTATAATTGTATGTTCTGCTGGTTCTTCCCAGAAAAACTCCATTTTTCTATGGGCCGATGTCCACCTAAGTCTAATATCGTTAAAACAAGAATGATGCCTGTGGGATTTATATTAGCGAAAAACACTTGCCAGCAAGAAAGAGAATAGTTTTCTTTCTTCCTGACAAGTGTCTTTTACTAATATAAATCTCACGAACGTTCACAATATCATTTCGCATTTTGACGATATTAGGCTTAGGTGGACGTGGGCTCAAAGAAATTTCCTCTTCCTCAATTATCTTATGATCCAGGTAACGTCATGTTCTCAAAGTTTCCTGTCCTATCGCAACTGCTAGCGTCACATTCTCACGAAGCACATTCTTTCTGCTTTCTGCAATGCATAGTTGATTTACCCAGGCCGAGAAACACAGTTCTTTTTTTCGGGAACTCCCTGTACTTCAGGTAGCACCCGGTGTACTTTTTACTTTACTGGAAGTACATAACCCCTAATTTCCTTTGTACTTTACTTCAAGTACTTTTTGTGTACTTTACCCTTTGTTGGGTAAAGCACATCTAAAAAGTACTTGAAGTAAAGTACAAAGTAAGTGAGGGGATATGTACTTCAAGTAGTAAGTATGCAGGGTGCAATGTACTTGAACTAAAGTATTATAAACACAATGTACTTTCAAAGTAAAGTCAAGTGGATGAAGTCGCTGCCAAACTAGTTAACACAATCAACTTATAAGGCACTTACTTGTATCCGTCTTGCAGCCGCCAGTACTTCACTCGAAGAAATGACCAGATGACGTCTCAAAAAATGATAGCGCGTTTTCACATGACGAATGCGCCGTTTACAATACGCCATTTGAACGATATGATGCATCGAAGTGATGTGTCGTCTGGACATGTGTCTGGTGAGAGTACAATATCCCCACCAATACTACTTCAGAGTTGACAAAGCACAATTTTGAAATGCAAATTTAGCAAGATCAAAGTTGGGAAACATACTTTGAAGACGGGAGTCTGATGCCTTTCTCGAAAAGCACCAGAAAAAATACTTTAGGTCAAGTACATACTTGGAGAATGTACTTTATGTAAAGTACAAGTTTTCTAAACCTACTTGAAGTAGTACTTTGATACGATGTAGTTAAAGCACTTTCCAACACTGACTTCACATAACACAGTTCAAAACACGAGCAGTATTATTTCAATTTACCACAAACTGCTCCCTCTGCACCTACCATGGTTTGGGAAGCAAATTTATTTCTGTATGTATTCTCGGATACTTTTTAGCCATTTTTGTATAAGTATCACGGGGATATGCCGTCACATCAAAGACATCGCGGTCAGTAACGGAAAGAACATGCATCGCTTAAATGCACACATGGATGTATGGGGTCTTTGCTGACGTCTCTGGACTCTGCCCAGCAGCTACTTTTTGGGACTGCGTGACGTCAGCAAAGCACCATGTGTCCGTGCGTTCATTTAAGCGACGCAAAATTTTTCCCTCACTTGCCCATGAACAAGGGACCGAACTGGTCTCGAAACATCAAGTTACTGTTTATTGAACTTTCTGTTAGAGTCCCTATTTTTTGTTTAAAAGTTGTAGCATAAGGAGCAATTTGATTGCAATGTGCTTGATGCATCACTGAAAAACCTTGAAAATGTGCGGCTCTTCATCACACGCACATTCACGGCAAAATGTTACAGCGAATTCATGGAAAAAACAACTGTTTAATAACTTCAGAAGAATGCTCCTAGGACTATGTTGCCACATAGGGGACACAAACATACTAGTTGTTCACTGACTGACCGAATATTTTCCGAGGTAAGAAACATAACCACAAAACGTCAGAAAAAGTTGCTGGCCAGCTAGAGCTAACAAGTTTTCAAATATTGTAAGCTGTTCTTGACAACTTTTTCACTCAAGCTCTCAATAGAGCTACACAATGTACTGGACATTTTAAAGATTGACTCCCTATGTCGCTGTATTCCGTTCCACTTTAAACACCAATGTGCAGCCAGAAAGAAGAAAACTCAGTTCCTCCTTTCCATAGAAGAAAGAGATGGACCCTCCTCCTTTCTGCAAAGAATAGTTCAGAGACCCACTGCTGTGGGGAGAGGAGGGAACTGGGAACCAGTCTTCTGCCTGGCAGAAGACTATTCCAGTGATGTGATTGGCCTAAGCCACTTCAGAGCACCTTTTCGAGCAGCCAAAGCAGCATTTTGGAGCAGGAAATGTGGCCTTTGGAGCAACCAAAACAGAGTTTTGGGGCAGCAAAAGCGGCTTTTGGGGCAGCCAAGACAGTGTTTAGGAACAACAAAAGTGGTTACCAAATATTCTTAGAAAAAAACAAAAAAACTTGTTTTCAGTGCTGCACAAACGAAGGGCGCTTTGTGTTGTGTTGTGTTCTGATGTGACGTCTTGTGACAGAACACACTGCTTGTGTTTTTAGTGCGGAGACATCCCACAAGTGTACAGTGCTGTAGGCGTTGCCGAGCAATTCCGAAAAATCGCTTGCCACCGTTTTACTGGTTCCCGAAGTGCCAGATTTTTGTCAAAAGTAAGCAAACGTAAAACAATGGATTGCAAGCGTCCCGGCTGGTGCCTCTGTCGGGCAATCATGTTCGCATGAATGTGAAGGCAACTTCGGCAGGCTTGCAGTTGCGCGTGCTTTGCCGCGCGAGCAGAGACAACGGCTGTTTGATCGAAACCAAAACCATGCCACTCCGCTCTGTTGCCGACTGATTTTCAAAATTGTATGCAAAATGTAACTTCAAGCACACAACAAAAAACAGTCCAACGGCACGTGCTTGCCAGGCCGGCAAAACAAGGTACAAGCTAAACACAAGGCCTTAGCTCACTTCTCTTCAACATTCTTTCGCGGCAGCTTTTTCACATACTAGGGTCAATCTCCAAAGAAAGCCCACCGAGAGAAACCTAGGTAATCAATACTTCGACACAGGAGTGTGAGTTAAAGAGAGACTTTTATAGTAACATATGCTTTAAACAAGAACAGGAATGTTGATGAACATGCGGCGGTACTTAGTTTCATTTTAGAAAGCGCCATATCTGCAGCAACGAGGGGACGGCAACACCCGATGTCGCGCGCCCACGGTGACTAGAAGGCAGGGACCAAATATAGTTTTCCCACGGCCGTTGCTTTCAGGAGCGAACGCTTCAGCTCACAAAGTAACACCCGCCGCACAAAAACATGCTTTCGTTTCACAGCATGACGGCATGGCTTGTACCCGGCAAGCTAGCGTCGGAGCGTCTGCACACACCCACGTCTATCGTAAAAAAAAAAAAAAAGAAAGACGCGAGACGAGATTTAAGAGACAACGAGAGCGTGAAACGCAAGACGGCAGGAAAACCATGCAGGACCGGATGGACAATTGATGCAGAGTACTTTGTGTCGGGCAGCCGCTTGCGCCACATGACACACGCATGCTCAATTACGATACTTAGTTTAGCTTCAATTTCGAAAGGCGACCGAAACAGTTTTTTTGGTGCAGGCTTGGTGCAGATTACCCTTATTTTGGTAAAATGTCGTAGGATGTAGCAGGGTTAACCCCTCGGCACAGTTTGGCACCATTGATGCAGCAATCACATCACTGAGATGAAAGATCACCAGCTGCTTCGCGCATGTCGAATTTTCTCTCGCGAGCATGCTCGCCAAGGCGGCCCACGATTCCCAGAGCTGCAACGATCTCTACAGGAGTGTGTGAAAACATGTTGGCAAAGCCACCGAGGATAACTTTCATTCGTTTGCGCCTGTTGATGCGGACCTTCCCCTTGTTGCTCCTATCACAGACGCTGCGATCGTAGACCTTGTGTGCGGCATGGGGTAAACACGAAACAATGTCGGAGAGGTACCTCATTAAATGCTGACGACTGCAGAGATGCGAAACATCCCACGGCTGCTTCGA